TGATAAATGAATACATTTATGGACAATATCTTCTTTGAGATATAAACTAAGAAATGTATATAGTGACAACAGTCAAAATTGTTTACATTTCCTTGACCAATCAGAGTCGTGTATGAAATCGGCAGTAGAGTTGTCACTCTCTGAAGTTTTATTGAAGTGTTTAAGAGCACTGGATTTTGAAAGGTTGTTGAGTTAGTCTCCAGTGTTCTTATGATTATGATATAATAGAATTTTAATAGAGTCTGTCCTCGAATGTCTCCATTTTTGTTGTCATGTCCTTGGGTATCTTCGCAAATTTTGCTTTCTCTTATGAGATCTATCATCCTTGGTCCAGGTGTATTTCATTTTTTTCATCTTCCTCTATTTTCTCTTGCGGGTATTAGGAAAAGAGTGACACTAATTTTGTATTCGCGAATGCAACTAACGCCTGTCGGCTACCAGATTTACCTACTATTTTATGACCGAATGGAATAGTGGCAGGAACTATTCATAATTAAATGAGTTTCCAATAAAATAGTAGGTTAATCCGGTAAATGACAGGCTTTAGTTACATTCGCGAATACAAGCTAAATATTCAGAATTGTTCACCTTTATTTCAGTTCCCCTTCCCAGAACATTCTCTCTTATTATTCCAATTTCACAGGTTTTCTCTCAAAGTTGTGAACAAACAACTTGATTGTCTTGCTTTTCCATATAATTTAGAGTGTCTTCTATGTGTCTGTATTTATTCCTCACTATTTCCACTCTGTTTTACAATAGTTTCAATTTAGAAATCACCGTCATGAATTTTTTATCCCAGGGGCTGTTAACAAAGAAGAGCAGTTTTTTGTTTATTTGCTGAACCCCATTGTCCAAGGAACAGAGTTTTTGAAAATGTCAAATCTCAATTTTCTTTACAAAATAGTAATATTGGTTTAGTTAAGTGTTTACATGAAAGTGGTACTCTAAATTTTGTTCATTTTATGTTTTTTATTTCAATTAATAATCAGTTCAATATTTTATGCTTATTTCACAAGAAATCAAAAAATAGTTTTACAGAAATGTTTATTTAATAAATTCACATAAACAATTGTTTTTCAATATTTTTCAATCTTGTTTTTTCAATCTCAATGCAAATTTCATTTTATCTCTTGACAAAGATATATTACATCGAAATATCCAAATTTTCATGATCATCAATTCTTCATATTCTTTTAAGTATTTATTTAAGAGGACATGTATTTTGACTTTATGTTTATCTAAAACATGCACATAACAGATACAAAAGTCATGACATTAAGATATAAAAACATGAAATGAAATTCTGTGTTGTCATTTTTAAAACATAAACTGTTGTGAAATTATAAGAAATGAGCAAAAAATAATTAAATAAGGAAGATAAGGAGACTTTAAATTTTATAGAAATTCAAGAAAATTTGGTAGTTTATTCAAAATTTAGAGAGAAATTGAGTGAAATCAGCATGAGCAGACGACATTTTAACATTGAATATAACAAATACATGAACATCTGCATGATATTGATAAACTATCAAACATTTGAAATCAGCTTTGTTTTGGAGATCACTATAATCAACCTTGCTAAAATGTCGTCTGCCCTTGATTGTTTTATTTATATTTCTCTCTAAAATTTGAATAAACTCTCTGATTTTCTTACATTTCTGTATAATTTCGAGTGTCCATAACATGCCCGTTTCCTTAATTCCTTATTGGTTCAACTCTTTTTCGCTCTGTTTTGAGATTTAACTTTGATGGAATGACCATCAGTATTTGATTCAAGGGTACGCTTGAGCGTACTTATGTTAAAAGATTGTAAATTGGAAATACTTAAAACATGTTGATATTCTCTTATCTTTAAATGTTGCCAGTTCTAAGAATGTCCTCTGCTGACATTTATTTCATCGGTTTTCACTCCAATATTTGAATAAAGTATCTAATTTTCTTGCATTTCTATCAAATTTGGGGTATGCACTTAAACTAGTTCAAGTTTTTCTCTTGCTTTTTCTGTCTTTTTTCTGTATTTATTTGATTTCTAAAATTTACTATATTTGTTATATTTATAAGTTGGATAACACATAAAAATTTGGTTGCTTGGCACAAAATAATGCTCACTCAAAAAAATACCCAACTCACAAATGCTTCGTTCTTATCCCTCAAAATAATTTTCTACCATTCCCCAGAGAAAAATTTGTATTTCAAATGTCTTTTTTCCCCTTTTTCTGTGGTAGTTCATAGTCAGTCACCCCTCTTCATTTTTCAGAAAATTTTAACATCTTATACAGGAGTGTTAAAGTAACCTGAATTTCACCTGATGGGTCGTAAATTATCTACCAGGAAGTAAATATTGATTCCCAGCAGCCCTCAATAGTTATTGCCATATTTAGACGTATCTCATTCACTTGTTTTATCGATCATTTTATGACCTTGGATTATTGCTATTTACACTTTGACAATCATTAGATCACTTGATTAAATATCTGGGACCAAATAATAATCAATGCATTTCCAATCAAAAAAGTGACGCTATTGTTATATTGTAAAAGTATTTGTATGTAGTCACGCAATAATCTAGCACTTTCTAATCAGTAGCTTAATATGACTATTTGTGTCTGGGGTAAAACTATCCTTTGTAAATACATGTAGTTTTATTTTGCTCTCTCAGAGGGATTCCATTAACAATTATTAAGGAGGGCTTCCATTAAAAATTAATGAGGTAGGCTCCCAATAACAATTAATAATTAAGAGGGCATCCATTAACAATTAATGAGGAGGGCTTCCATAAATATACCCTTTGCATTCGTTTGACTTCACTTCTTAAAAGAGAGCTTCGTCTTCACTCTTTCAAACTAAAATAAACCTGTGAACTCACCGCACCAATCAGTGTTCGTCGGCCAAATTTGACCGACGTTCTTTATATGGTCATTCCTTCTTACGTCATCGTTGAGCCCGGAATTGACCAATGACATGCGCATATTTAATTAGAACGCATTTGGCGCATGTTTCTTCAAGCTCGCTGATTGGTGGAAGGTCAGTGCGTAGGTCAAAAGTGATTTACCCAAACTGTCACCGGTACCAGACGTAGGGGCGGGGCTACTAAACTGTAATATGGTCTCTACTAGGCAGAGTGTAGTTTAACTAGACTCTGCAAGCAGGGTACCATAAATAATTGATAAGGAGGGCTATCATTAACAATTAATGAGGAGGGTGTCCATTACCAATAAATAAGGAGGGCTTCCATTTACAATTAATGAGGAGGGCTTCCATTAACAATTAATAAGGAGGGCTTCCATTAGAAATTAATGAAAAGGCTTCCATTAACAATTAATGAGGAGGGTTTCCATTATCAATTAATGAAGAGGGCTTCCATTTACAATTAATGAGGAGGGCTTCCATTATCAATTAATGAAGAGGGCTTCCATTTACAATTAATGAGGAGGGCTTCCATTACAATTAATGAAGAGGGCTTCTATTTACAATTAATTGGGAGGGCTTCCATTATCAATTAATGAAGAGGGCGTCCATTTACAATTAATGAGGAGGGCTTCCATTATAATTAATGAAGAGGGCTTCCATTTACAATTAATGAGGAGGGCTTCCATTATCAATTAATGAAGAGGGCTTCCATTTATAATTAATGAGGAGGGCTTCCATTATCAATTAATGAAGAGGGCTTCCATTACAATTGATGAGGGGGGCTTCTATTCGTAATTATATAGGATAGCTTCTTTTAACAAATAATGAGGTTATTACAATCTTCAGTCTGTTCGACAAGTGTATTCTTGTATTCATATATAATACTCCAATGAATTAAGATGTAAAATCTTATCAATCAAAACAAAACTGGTAACCAATAGATCTTATTTTTTCTTTGAAGGGAATGTTACTATTCTGATTTAGCCCTTTTTATATTAATAATATCAGAGTAACTATATAATATCTTATATATTCTTTAAAGATTTACCACTTAAGATTCTTTGACCTTCTCCAAATGCATTGATTTTGAGGAGAACGGATGGCAACAGAGTGAAATCGATCAGTTTGGAGAATATCTGTGTTGATGTACTCTTTATCGGGTACATAAACCTGTATTGATTCAGTCTGTTACAATGTGTTTAATTCAATTATATCTGAACATTTTATGAAGCCTGATCAATTGATCCTAAAGGTACCCTAGGCAGGGGGGGTAGTGTACTTTTAACATACCATGGGGTTTTGACTGTGGGAATTTTCCGATGAATTGAATATAGAAATAGAATTGAAAATGTTCTCATATTTCCTGAAGTTTGAAATGAAACTGAACAGATTGAGGATGATTGGATAAGTGCAAAGAACATTTTTTAATTATGATTTAATCGTGAGGTTAAGCTACAGGGTATATGTTTGTAATGTACATAATGTATAGAATTACATGTATAGTCCTCTGGGGATAGGTCCCCCCTTTGTAGTACTTAACTGATTCAATAAGGACAACAGTTGTAAATAGGTCCATGGAAAAAACAATCGAGAATGGGACAGTAATCCCTGGCGGCCATAATGGTCTTGTTTTATCAGATGCTAATTTCTTGCTTTTTCAGATTTTTCAAACTTAAACATGAATGATAATATAATTTGAATAGGTTATTTTAAAGGAATTTTGTTGTCCTCAGATAGTTCCCCTGAAATAGTTTCAATGTTCTAAATATAGATCTCATATCAAAATTGCTAAGATATAAATATTAAATGTATATAATATCTACTAAATGCACAGTAAAACCAGTCTGAAGTAAACCTTAAAATATGCAATAAATATAACTTCAATTAAAATTATAAAAATTATTTATTTATTAAAATAATTATGATTAAATTAAAAACTTCGCATAATTCATAGATCTTTTTATTTTTCATATTTGCTGTGTTGTCCACAATGATGATGATGATGTGCATATTTCCATGACATCACACATGGTTGCTATGACTACTTCCTGGTTGCCATAACTACAAACAAATGATATTGCTGTAAATAGTTTGCATTTGACTACTCATATTGGTAAGTACATACATATTTATTTTATAGCAACACTTAACTTAAAATCTTCACCAATGAAAAGTCGTGCAAATCATCCATTTGTTTGCAAGGCTGTCCAAAGAATGCTACATGTAGAAACTAGAATGATTTTTTGATATTAACAGCATCTAAAATAACTTGGGTAAACCTATTATTAATACTTAATACAGAAAAATCTGCACCAGTTAAATGGAGAGGGTACAGGCCCATAGCCAGGGGGAGCGGAGGAAGCGGCCGGAATTCTTTCAAAATCATGCAGTTTTTCACCATTCTGAGCACTTTTCACATGATTTTTTACCAAAACTGTCAGAAACCTCCCCCTTGGAAAAAGCTTCCCCTTTGGTAACACCCCCCTCAGTAAATCCTGGCCTGGGGTATATATGGGTTGGTTTATGCTTTTTGAGAGCTTGAACAAAATCTAATCTTGAATTCCTAGTGATAGCATTTAATATCTTCTCTGTGAGAATAAAAGTTATCCTGCCTCGACGCTATTCGAATTAAGACAAATGTATTACGGGAAAAAGGGTGTGATAATATGTCATTTTTATCAAGATCAAATTATCTTGTTCAGTTTGATACATGGGTGTCTAACAGGCAGTGATTTTCTCTTAATTCCCTGTAATTTGTTAACAGGGGCATAAATAACAATCATTTTCTTTTCGCTAGAATGTCGTCTGCATGCTTATTTCTCATCATTTCTCTCTAGAATTTGAATGAAGTGTCTGATTTTCTTGCATTTCTATACAATTTAGAGTGTTAACTACATGCCTGTTCACTTTATTCCTTAGCTGATTCCACTTTTTATGTCACCACTTAAATTTTTAGGATTTTTATCATCATTTTTACATACTGATTGTGCCATTTAGGAGTAAAATGAAAATAGCCTGCAAACAGAAAACTTTGGGGTAAATTTCGACCACAAGTTATTCTTATGATACATATTATCATGAATGGATTTTCCTGGAAGAAAAATATCATTTAGGTAACATTTTAAATTGAATATATATCATAAAAAGGGAGGAATAAAAGAGGGAAAAAATAAACAGACATGTAGTTAACACTTCAAATTGTTAAGAAATCCAAAAATATTAGACACTTCATTCAATTCAAATTTTCGAGAGAAATTCAGAAAAATTGGTTTAGAAACATAAAATGAAGTGTTTATTGATATTCTAAAATAGCTTTAAGCTGTATCAAATAAATATGCATTATTTACTAGGTCAATTACACCATATACCAAGAAATTATTTGTTTTCACATGCCTATGGTTGCATATAAACAGTTATAAACATTATTTTCTCTATGCCGAAATGTTATGTATTTTTAAACTTATGTCTCTATAAACTGATAAAGTTGTCATAAACAAATGCCCGATTTATTATGTTATAACTGAGTTAATTAATTCTTGCACTCATTAATTTTTTAATCTCATAATATTATGCCAATATTGACAACTCAATTGAATTTATCAAAATTCTGTATGAATTTCCAATTTCTCTTTCGCCTTTTTTGGCAGTTATTTTTGTTTATTTCATATACTTTGTTGATTCCTCCATAATTTTGAGTAAAATCTTCATCAGTAATTATAAGGATATGTTTGTCGAATTTGCAAAAAGATGGTTTATGATTGAATATGGTTAGTAGTATTTGAGTCGCCTTGGTAACTGACCAAATTACATCTAGTTGAATGAGAAAAATTCACTGAAAGGGTTATTTTTTATGTTAGTCTATTCTTTTAATTTGATTCTCTCATATAAATATTTATATCAACATTATATTTACTTTAGATTTTATTAATCAATTAAAATAAGGGATTATCTGAGAATCTGTAATCTAATCTTGAGGATATGTCTAAAAACGGAATAAAAATGTGTAGCAAAACATGAAATATCGGGAACTTTTGAGATATCTTTTGGAAAGTGTATCGATTGAATAAGCATAAGTCAAAAATTCCACTTTCGTGTTATGGAGATTACAGTTCTCCACCTGATTTTATTCTTTTGTTGTAGCTACCTGTATTTGCTCTCACAAAATATTTCACTTGAATTTCAAAATTTCTTGCCTATTCCACCATTCTTCATTACAAATCTTGATTTCATGGTTGATCGGAAAAATCATGATACAATTTGGATATTTTTGATTGATTATTTTATGTTTTAATTTAATTTTGGGTCATTGTTATGAAAACTTATGCAAGGGTTTATAATGGAAACACCATGGAAGAATTCCATGGAAAATATTGTGAGGTTGTTTCCATAAGAATCCAAAATAAATTGTTAAAGTAAATAAACAAGGAGAAAACACTCTTAATTATGCATACATGTCATAAAATAAGACAGTTTTGTTTGAGAGAAATGAGTGGAATAGGCATGACTAAGATTTTTGTTTACTGGTAAACTAGTTCCCTTTATTGGATTAAAGATTTGTGTTGAAATATTTCATTGAATTTATTGTGCACTTTAGTTTCATGAATATATAGCACAGGAATCAAAAGTGAAAAACAGGGTTGGAAAACACAGGAATAGAAACATCTAAGAGCATTTGTTACCAGTCAAATGGAAAAACAAGACCCCAATATCCCAAACTCTAAAAACTGCCTTACCCACACTTTTCAAATGCTGCCCTTTGTGCTTCCCTTAATAATAAATGTTTAGGGTTATAATTTGTTTTTGTCCCTGCTTACATGTATTTATCTCTTTTCAAGAATATGAAATATCTTTGTGGTATTATTACCATAGTTGTTCCTCAATCTCCAATTCTTCCCCTTTCTTCATTGATTTGATGATAATTAATCTATTTTTAATAAACAAGTAATCAGTTATCAATAATTAATATTAGGTTATTGTGTCAAAGTTCTTACAGAGATCAACTTTATTATTGTTTATTGAATAGTATAGGTTTTGTGTTGCATATGTGGTTTAGATCAATATCGTTTATTGTTATGAATTGATTCTGCTTATTAATATCTTTATACACTCTACGATCAGGGTAGAGATCAATTCTATATAAAGATAACTGATTCAAGAAAAATGCAATCAAAGTTATTACCGGAAATTTATTGACACGTATATATATTATACATTTATAGTGGCACAAACAAACTTTATGATGAAAACCAAATTAATTATTTAGGTCTGTTAATAATTGCCCAATCTAATATCAAGTATATTTCGAGAGATTTCAATCACATAGCAACATCTAACATGTAGTGGGTAGTTGTGAAATGTTATATAATCAAATGCACTTAGGATATCGATAGATTCCATACAATTCAATAATCTTTTGGTCAAGTTGGAAGAGTTCATTCTAGATATTTAAAGGGGTGAAAGGATTATTTTGCCAGTTTTCTTTATTTTTAACAGATATTATGGTTTTTCCTTATTTTTTTGAACATTTACTCAAAAGGTAATACATGTAGGCTTGATATTCTGCAGATGACTCCATCATTTTCTTTATTATCACTTTTTACCTTTAAACCCCCCCCCACAAAACATGGTTTTCGGATATACAGTAATTTGAGGGATTCAGTTCAGAACATATTGGTAGCAAATAAAAAAACATCATAACCATATTCTATTAAATGATTTAAGTAAAACGTTAATTGTTTACATAATCTGTATTCTACTGTTTTCATTTTAATAATAGCCAGAACTTAATCCTTGGACCAAATAAAGAGAAGGTGAAAACAAAGTTATTTGTTTCTTACCTGTTGATTAAAATAAATAATTTGAATTCGATGTTGATCATATTCATTTAATTTTGATTTGATCATATATTCAGGTTATTTGATTATGTTTACTTATCATTTTATGTTGTCATATTTTTCAGGTCAATTGATCAATTTTTTCTTATCATTTTATGTTGGCATATTTTTCAGGTCAATTGATCAAAATTTTTTCTTATCATTTTATGTTGTCATATTTTTCAGGTCAATTGATCATTTTTTTTCTTATCATTTTATGTTGTCATATTTTTCAGGTCAATTGATCAATTTTTTTCTTACCATTTTATATTATCATATTTTTCAGGTCACATGATGGCATGGTTGAAAATGCAGACGGTATATTCGAGGCCGCACCCGGCACAAACTATTCTGGTCAGCGTGTTGTGTTTAATGATCTTGGACAAGGAGTCCTTAATAATGCTTTTGAAGGTAAGTGAGGTACCATCTCTCATGTACTTAAACTGCAAACAAAAAGGTTCTCACACTGGACCATTTTTAAAGATTGTTTACGATTGGTGATTTTTGATTTATCATCAACATTGAAGATTTCAGACCTTATGTACATTTGAAGAAAAAAAGTGCACATTTAAAAGGTTAATGTTATTCTGTGCATAATAATTACATCAGTTTTTACAGTAATAGGTAAAAGCCTTATATTATGCTTTTGAATATGGCACATATACTTCCCCGATATTTCAATGAATGGTCATATTTTCCGACACTTCACTACATTTTAGAGTGTAAACTACATGCTCATTTACTTCATTCCTTGCTAATTCCACTCCTTTCTACTCTATTTTACATTTTAAAACACGACCCATATTTTATTTTCAGGTTATAACTGCTCATTGTTTGCCTATGGCCAGACTGGTGCTGGGAAATCCTACTCAATGGTGGGATATGGGGCAAATAAGTAAGTTTAGTATTAATAGAGAGGTTTAAGACAACATATTTTTGCTCAATGTATCAAGAATCTGTAACGCATTCACCAGCTTTATGCGTAGTAGTTCAATTAAAACGAGATGCAGTTGCGGATACGTTTTAGCTATAACCCATTGTGCGAAATCTCTCTTATAAAAATTGTATGTTACTGATATGTTGTTACATTCATTCAGGTTCTGTAACATTTGTTACACTTTTTTAATTGTAACAAGGTGATGGCATTCTATTTATGAATTCCTTGTTGTAATTTCCTTATATAGAAAATCCTGAGGAAAAGGAACTTAGGACATACAATAAAACATTTCTGTTAGACTGAAAATATGTGATTGTTTAAATATTTTTGACGTACCATCTGTTTGTTCCTTTAATTTATAGATTCAATTAATATTTATTAATTATTTATTTATATTTTATTTATATTTTTCAGAGGAATTGTACCTATTACTTGTGATGAACTGTTTAAAACTATGAACACAAATACAGATCCAAATAAGGTAAGGGAAAATGTGAATCGAAATATGGTTGTAATACCCAAATATGGGGGTAATGATCCAATATGGTTGCAATGAACTAGCAAAATAGAGTTGTTAAACAAATCAAATGTGAGTTTAATGTGAAACCCAAATATGGTTATAATCACATCAATAATCCATCATCAATCAACAAATTAGGTTAGATAATAGATTTCAGGTCAAATAATACAAATATATCTATATTCGATCTTATTTTAATGAAATAATTATAAAGTTTCACAATTTTTTCTAAATATCAGCCCTTATTATGTACTTCACTATTACTCTAAGTCCTGAGAAAATAAAATAAGGAAATAGATCTGGTAAATTGAAATATTTAATTTCCAGAGATATGAGGTCACTTTATCAATGTTGGAGATCTACAATGAGCAGGTTCGGGATCTACTGCAAAAAAGTAATCCAAAGGGAGGTCTCCCTGTACGCCAAAACCCCAAACTTGGTCTTTTTTACGTGCAAGGTTTGAAGAAGGTTCCAGTAGGGAGTTACAAAGAGGTTGAACAACTCCAAGAACAAGGTAAGAAAATGAGAAAAGTTTGTGGATTTGATTTTTTATTGTAGGCATTAGAATATTAGTTAAAATAAGTTTCCAAATTCATACATCATAAGGATCATCTTGTTTAGGATTATTTGACAAATGAGTGTGATAAAACAAGAGCAAAAACTAAAAATTGCAACAAATTTAACATATTATATATATTCTTTATTTATATGACATATAACATAAACATTTATGTATAGTAATACACAGTAAAACCTGTTAATCCAATCACCTCTCTTTTTTGATAATCATAATTTTGACAAATAATAGTGACGAAACAAGAACAAAAACTATAAGCAGCAACATATTTAATGTACATGTATATGCATATACTAAAGTCCCGTTCCAAAGTATATTAAAACTGCTATGTTCATCAATATACATGTAAATACCCCTGAATATACAAAAATATTTATATACATCAGTATACATATTAGATAGAGTATACTAAAATCGCTATGTTCATCAATTATATACAAATATCAATGAAACTAATATATGCTTTTAAGATATTAAAAAAGACTCAAGGTCACCAATGTTGCACGTCAAGTCAATGTTTTTGCTACAAATCAAGCAACAGTGGTCTACATGACCTGAAACCCTATTCCAAATTTTCAGGGATGATTTTTAGTATGAAAATCTAGATCTGATTATAGTTTTTCGGCATTTTGGGTAAATGTCAAGGCAGCCATTTTGGATTTTCTGTCTTAAAATCTTGTCTGTATTGTCTTGTCTATGCATTTTTAGGTTAACTTTTTGAGGGATCATCTTCAAATTTTTAGGAATTATTCCCAGTACAAAAATCTAGAACTATTACTTTTTCCTCATTCTGCGTAAATTTTAAGTTTCTGGCTTTTCCGTCCTAAAATTGTGTCTGTGAAGGCTTGTCTACCCATTTTAAGGAATGATTTAAAATATGAAAATCTAGAACCAATTAGTTTTTCAGCATTCTGGGTAAATGTTAAGGCAGCCATTTTGGATTTTCCGTCTGTAAAGTCTTGTCTTTGTGTTTTCAGGTTAACAGTTTGAGGGATCAATTTTAAATTTTCAGGGATGATTCTTAGTATGGAAATCTTGGAACTGATTTTTCTCTTCAAATCATTTCTTTCCAACTGATTAGTGTTGCATTCAGGATGAAAAATTTGCGGTATATAGGATCACCCATTGATGGGGAAATGTTGTACACATTTGTGTTCTTGTTTCAAAATTGATTTATTGATGCAATCAAATATTTCTACAACAAAATCATCAGAGATTGAGGTGTATCTTGATGGATTGAGTCTCTTCACATGTATGATTCTTTTTCATAACATGGTACCTCATTTGTTAACTGAGATGATGGATGTTGTTTAGCTATTGCTTTGTATATGAGGTATAATACAAATATGATAACCAGTAGGATTGAAACTGACATTCCACAAGCCAAACTTACAATTAAGGCATGATCTCTATGTTGTTGCTCAGATAAGGAATTAAGTTTGTTAAGTAATTGTAATGTTTGGTTAGGTTGTTGTGTTGTTTGGTCAGATCCTTGTGTTGTTTGGTCAGATCCTCGTGTTGTTTGGTCAGATCCTTGTGTTGTTTGGTCAGATACTTGTGTTGTTTTGTCAGATCCTTGTGTTGTTTGGTCTGATCCTTGTGTTGTTTGGTCAGATCCTTGTGTTGTTTGGTCAGATCTCTGTGACGATTGATCAGTTTGTTGTATTGTTTGAACAGACTGTTGTGTTGCTAGAGTTGTTCCTCCTGCTATTTTTGTTGTGACTTTTGATGTTGGAATTGTTCTTACGTTGCCTGGTGTCGGTACAATTCTACAGAAATCATGTATTTTCTCAATATTATCCATGTAATCGAATGGTAATGCACTTATGTTATTTCCATACAAGTGCAGTTCAGTCAAATATGGCATGTAAAAGCAGATATCATTAGGTATTTCTTGCAGATTATTATTTTGTAGATGAAGAAAATGCAGTGATATAAGGTTCCTGAATGTGCCATCTGGTAATATTGTCAGGTCATTACTGTTCAGATTAAGAATCAAAAGTGATTTCAATGTACCAAATATATCAACTGGTAAAAGTTTAAGCTCATTTTTACCAAGATTAAGAAATAGCATGGATTTTAAGTTAGTAAATATTCCATCTGGTAGTATTGATAAGGAATTGTGCTCAAGTTCTAGGACTGTCAGGGACGTCAAGTCACTGAATATTCCTTCTTGTAAATTTGTTAATTTATTAAAATGAAGGCTAAGTTGTTCCAGTGATATCAAATGACTGAATATGCCATCGGGTAGCGTTGTAAGTGAATTATAGCCTAGGTCAAGCTCTGTTAGTGAAATCAAGTTTTTGAATATACCAACTGGTAAATTATACAGGTTATTGGAATGAAGTTTAAGATTAACCAGCAATGTCAAGTTACTAAATATGCCATCTTATAAGAATAAAAGATGATTTAACTGCAATTGTAGCATTGTTAGCGATTTCAAGTCACTAAAAATCCTACTGGGTAATACTACTAGGTCATTACCTAAAAGGCCAAGAACTCTCAGGGATTTCAAATTACCGAATATGCCACTTGGTAGGCCTCTTACTTTTATGGCATTAAAACTCAAGTCAAGTTCCTCTAGCAATTTTAAATTACTGAATATGCCATTGGGTAGTACTCGTATATCATTAAAACTCAAGTCTAGTTTTTCCAACAATTCTAAATCATTGAATATGCCACCTGGTAGTACTTGTATTTCATTAGAACTCAAGTTAAGTTCTTTCAGCAATTGTAAACCAGAAAATGCACCATTTTCAATTTCAGTTATTTGATTATGGCTCAAATCAAGAATTGTTATATTTGAATATTGTATGAACATCCCCCCTGTTAGTCTTGTCATATACCGTTTACTCAGGTCCAACTTTGTGAGTCCACTTGATTGGATGGTGACTTGGCATAACATGAACAGCACCAACGTCTTCAGTAACACATTCTGAAAGTATCAATTTGGGTATTGAGGTTTCAACATTTGAAAAACTGTAAATCAAGTTGTAACATAGTGAAATGAGAAGGGAAAATATATAGGACTGATTAATATGAAAAGTGAGAAATATGAAAGTATGAAAATGGCCATGTTACAAAGTGAACCCCCTTCATAAATGAATATTGTAGGCCATTTCTTAACCTTTGTAGTAGCAAATAGGACTGTAGGAGGATTATCAATCTAGCAAATGATAAAAACTGTTTGAAGTTTTACTCTGCATTTCTACTTACCTTTGTCTGGTCAGTTGCCATCGTTATTTTTTCTATCAGTGAATCTTTCTAGAGATTAATTCTTGTTGCCCAAAGTGTTTGATCGTATGAACTATTGAATGGCAATACTGTGTCTACAGTTTGACAGTTCGAGATATTAATTATATTGTATGATATTATTTAAAATTGTTTTTTTTCAGTCAGTTATTTTCCCCTTTATACATATGCTGCAGTGTTTCCTTCATTTACATCCAACAGAAAATGGTTTCTTCTTTCATTTATTCTTTCAAAATTGTTTCACATTTATTTCTGAATATTTGTTCATCCGAGTTTTTGAAGAAACTTGATGAAACTCTATTAAATTCAGACAGTACAGTATATTTATCTCCTTTTCTCCAGCTTCCTCTCGTCATCATACATTTATCTCCCATAAGTAATAGTCCTTAATGCTATTGTGTTATAGTATTTTCATTAGACACCATATTCACTCTTTCCCTGATTTCTTCTTATGAAATACATATGTTATTATACAGTATTACCAACTGTAGTCAGCAAAAGCTTCTGAAGATGTTGACTAAACATCACAAGTAAGTTGTTTTGGCTAACATCCTTTTCAAAAACTATTTTACTTTTTATTTATTACAGTTTCTTTATGACCACTGGCCTCCAAATGTATCAGATGTGATGAATTTTGTTTAAAAACATCCCGGTTGGCAGTTTTAAGTGAAGGACTGAATTGAGGTGATGTTGATCATAGGTGTTGCATGAGCAAACGTGCCTAGATGTCATATAATGTCTCTAAGCATAAATTAGTCATTCTCTATAATGGGGTTGTCAACTCTTACTCGAGTCTCTAGCCAAATTACTTGGCTAGAAGACATGGCATGTGGACTACCATGCACTAGTGAAAGCGTTGATTCAGATTCTGGTGTATGATTTTTTAAAATGTTATTCTAAAAATTTTAATGAGAATATTTCATCAAATAGAATGTAAACGAATACTATCCTTTGTGAGATTGCATGCTTTCGTCTAAACTTAAAATCATTTGGTCTGCCATTTATAAAAACTTCTGTTGAGGTTGATCTTTATCTCGCTTTAGCAAAAAACAAAATGGCCGCTTTTACGGAAGGATCTTTTTCAAAAGATTGCTCTTAGAAAAGACTAAATAAAAGCCGATGTAGATGGTCATATGAACTAAGACTGCATACTAAGTTCAATGAAGGTATGTTTATTACATTTGAGTTAATTTATAGCAACAGTCCACAGGGGATAGTGTAAAAAACAAACAGGGCTTGATGATAGTGTAAGGCCACACTCTGGCCGAAGAATAAGGTTAGTCAACTCCACACCGTATGACATCATAAATCGAGCTAACATATCCACGTTTATTTTTTCATTCACCATAAGGGATCACGTTTATTGTTCCAAAGAATATCTCATACATACACTTATTATTCAAATAAAACTATTATCTTAGAATGTAAATGTCATACATACTTCTCAGAAAAAATGTGAACAATTTGAGGAATATATACATACAGGATATATGTGTGGCGAAATTGAGTCTCTCCATCTTTTACAAAACATGAAAACAAATGTAGTTTATAATATTCATTTATTTAAAGGAAAGTTTAAGTACAAAAATATCATTCAACTAGTTACTTACAGTTGTTGATTTATCTGAGTTCATGCAACGAGGTTCTGAGGTTTCAATGCCAAAACTGCCTCTTTTATATCTTATTTTTGAGGTGGGCAGAGCCGAAATAAGAGGTTTTATCCAATAAAATATTAGAAAATCCCATTAATTAAAATTGGTCTAAAAATAAATGTTTAATTTTGTAAAAAGTCAATAAGAAATAGTGACGGATTTCTGCCCACAAAGCTTGAATGTTTACCAAAAGTTTGAGAATTTAGACAATTTGGGTGAGAAAGGAATGTCAAGACAAAACCTCTGGGCCTTGTCTCGTGAACTCTGGATGTACAGTTTAATTATCCCGTTTAATCCATTACCTAATTAATGTCCAAAATATGTATTTATATTTAAATTTTCACGTTAAAAAGTATACAGTTATTCCTAAAATATGGTGTAGATTATAAAGGTATAACTATTTGCAAAGCATGTGCAGCAATATTGATGTTTTGGTCAGTTGTAAACAAAGTCTTAAAGTTTATTGGTTTAAACTGCTATAATCTGCAGCTAAAACATAAGAAATTAAATGGTTAGCATTGTAAAACATGGCACTAAGTTCAAAGATTATTCAAACAACTGTTATAATACAAATATAAACTAACCAAAATAACGCAATAATTATAAACATGAGTAACTGGAAAGATCATAATGACTTTAAACTAAGGGACAATATGCGAAACAAAATAATATACATATGCCAAAATATAGTCAAACATTTATCTTCAATATTTCGATGACACCGAGTATACTTAAACAATTGTGTACATCAATTTTCTAATTATCATCATCAATATACATATGCCAAAGTATAGTCAAACATTTATCTTCATCAATATACACATGCTAGAGTATAGTCAAACATTTATCTTCATCAATATACATATGCCAAAGTATAGTCAAACATTTATCTTCATCAATATACATATGCTAAAGTATAGTCAAACATTTATCTTCATCAATATACACATGCCAAAGTATAGTCAAACATTTATCTTCATCAATATACACATGCTAGAGTATAGTCAAACATTTATCTTCATCAATATACATATGCCAAAGTATAGTCAAACATTTATCTTCATCAATATACATATGCTAGAGTATAGTCAAACATTTATCTTCATCAATATACATATGCCAAAGTATAGTCAAACATTTATCTTCATCAATATACATATGCCAAAGTATAGTCAAACATTTATCTTTATCAATATACATATGCCAAAGTATAGTCAAACATTTATCTTTATCAATATACATATGCCAAAGTATAGTCAAACATTTATCTTCATCAATATACAAATGCCAAAGTATAGTCAAACATTTATCTTTATCAATATACACATGCCAAAGTATAGTCAAACATTTATCTTTATCAATATACACATGCTAGAGTATCCTAAAGCAAATATCTTTATCAATACATATGCCAAAGTATATTGTAACAGTTCTGTTTTCTATATATTGGGTGGGCATAAAAAATGGGCTGTAATTTGACACTCAATATCTCCAAAATCCCCTTATATTCTACTTCTCAAAATCCATCATGTTCTTAATGTACAGACTAAATTTTCAGTTTCATCCTTCAAATGTTTTGCTCATGGGCCAAAATAAAAAAAATGTGAGTCAAAAATGCATATTCCGAAAATTTCAAAATTATGCCCTTGTTCCCACTTGAAAAGGTGATCAATTGGTCCTTTATCTTCTTGGTACATATGTTTTTGCCATGAACTGGTTGAGTCCTGAGTCTTCTTAAGCGTAAATTTTCCCAACAGACTCTTAACAAGAATGTCCCGCTTCTGTCTGTCTATTTGTGTTTCTGTGTTTATGCAAATCAATATATATTTCTTAACTCCACTTATTTAGATGTATTATTCCATGTATTTTTTGTCATTTATATTTCGATATCTCTTTACATGTATGATTCCTTTTCATAATATGGCGCCTCGCTTGTCATAAAAAATGATGAATGTCGTTTAGCTATTGCTTTGTATATGAGGTATAATACTAATATGATAACCAGTAGGATTGAAACTGACATTCCACAAGCCAAACCTACAATTAAGGCATGATCTCTATGTTGTTGCTCCGATAAGGCATTTAGTTCAAGTGATTTTATTATTTCATCTGATTGTTTTGTTGTTGGATCAGGTATTTGTGTACTTTGGTTAGTTTGTTGTGTTGATTTTCCAGATCTTTTTGTTTGGTGGGATAGTTGTGTTATTTGGTCAGATGATTGTGTTGGTTGGTCAGATATTTGTGTTGTTTGGTCAGATCTTTGTGTTGATTGGTCAGATTGTTGCGTTGATTGGTCAGATGCTTGTGTTGTTTGGTCAGATATTTGTGTTGATTGGTCAGATTGTTGCGTTATTTGGTCAGATGATTGTGTTGGTTGGTCAGATCTTTGTGTTGATTGGTCAGATTGTTGCGTTATTTGGCCAGATGATTGTGTTGGTTGGTCAGATCTTTGTGTTGATTGGTCAGATTGTTGTGTTGTTTGGTCAGATGATTGTTTTGTTTGGTCAAATCTTTGTGATGATTCGTCAGATTGTTGGGTTGTTTGGTCAGATGATTGTTTTGTTTGGTCATATCTTTGTGTTGATTGGTCAAATTGTTGTGTTGATTGATCAGATGATTTTGTTGGTTGGTCAGATCTTTGTGATGATTCGTCAGATTGTTTGGTTGTTTTGTCAGATGCTTGTGTTGTTTGGTCATATCTTTGTGTTGATTGGTCAGATTGTTGTGTTTCTTTGGTTGATCCTTCTGATATTTTTGTTGATATGCCTGATGTTGTGATTGTTGTTGTGTAAACTGGTGTTGTTGCATTCATGCAGAAATCACTTTCATGTATTTTCTTGACATTATCCATGTAATCAGGTGGCAATGCACTTATATTATTTCCATGCAAGTACAGTTCAGTCAAACCTGGCATGTAATGGCAGATGTCAGCAGGTACTTTGTGAAGGTTATTATTTTGGAGGACAAGACGATGCAGTGATTTTAGGTTCCTGAATATGCCTTCTGGTAATATTGTCAGTTCATTACTGTTCAGATTAAGAATCAAAAGTGATTTCAATGTATCAAATATATCAACTGGTAAAAGTTTAAGCTCATTTTTACCAAGATAAAGAAATCGCATGGATTTTAAGTTAGTAAATATTCCATCTGGTAGTATTGATAGGAGATTGTGGTCAAGTTTTAGGACTGTCAGGGACGTCAAGTCACGAAAGACTCCTTCCTGTAAATTTGTTAACTTATTATAATTAAGTCCAAGCTCTGTGAGTGATGTCAAATTACTAAATATGCCATCAGGTAATATTGTGCCCCAGCTCAAGCTTAGTCAGTGATGTCAAGTTTCTGAATATGTCAACTTGTAAATGGTTCAAGTCATTGAACTGAAGTTCAAGATCAACTAGTGATGTCAGCTTACTGAATATGCCATCTGGTAATGATGAAAGATGATTGGACCCCAATTGTAGATTTGTTAGTGATTTCAAGTCATTAAAAATGCCAATTGTCAATACTACTAGGCCATTACCTTTCAAGTCAAGAACTCTTATGGATGACAAATTACTGAATATGTCATTTGGTAATACTTTTATATAATTAAATCCCCAATAAAGTTCTTCTAATGATTGTAAACCAGAAAATGCTCCATTTTCAATTTCTGTTATCTCATTAAAGTTCAGAATGAGAATTTTTAGATTTGGATGATCAATGAACATCCCCTCTGTTAGTTTTGTTACACCCCAAAAGCTCAGGTCCAACTTTGTGACTCCACTCGATTGGATGTTGACTTGGCATAACATGAGCAGCACCAACACCTTCAATAACACACTCTGAAAGTAGCAGTTTTGCTATTAATGTTTCAACATTTGAAAAATTGTAAACCAAGTGAACACCCTTTGTAATTGAACATTGTAGGTAGTTGTTCACATTCACATAGTTGTTCACATTCAAATAGTTGTTCACATTCAAAAATGTACATAGTTGTTCACCTTAGCCAATGAACATTGTAGGTCTTTTTATCTTTGCAAAGGTTCACATTGGCAAATAAGACTAGCAGTAGGAGGATGACAACTGTTTGTTTAAGTATAACTCTACTTTTAACTTACCTTTGTTTGGTCAGTTGTCATAGTTACTTTTGGAGATTTCTTGTTGATCCAAGTGTTTGATCATGTAGAATATAATTCATCAGAACTGCATGTACATATTGTTTGCCAAAGATATTAGTTATATCTTTAGATATTATTTTATATTGTCTTTTTTATTTAATCTGTTTTATTATACCACACTAATTTTTATAGTTTTATTCCTCGAAGTTAATGCGTTGCAATTTCTGGATAAACTTCTATATCATGCAAACAGTACTACATATATTAATCTCCTTTTCTCATTTCTCACTGTTATACATTGATCTCACTGTAAAATTATTTATATACCTATGCTAATGTGTTCAAGAACCAATGAAAAAATTCCTTCCTTATCAAGTGGAACACTAGCATCTAAAAATGCATTATTTTGTAACATTTTTTCCTTTGAAAGAAATATATCATTTTTAAAGATCAATGGCCTTTTCAAAAGCTTAAATGGCATTATTTCTATTCATACTTATTTTGTATAGAAGTTCTTTAAAGTTTAATAACTTTTTCAAGGGGAAATTGTTCAAACCTACACTACCCATAAAAGGTAACATACAGTCAGCAAAAGTTCCTAAAGATTGTGTCAGCAGTACCAAACCATCGAGATTTAGTTAGATTTTTTGGGTGGTGTTACTTTGTAGGTCCTAACATTTTCCTTTTCATTTATTTTGAATTCAACAACCTGATTGGTGGATGAGATTCACTGATTTTGTTTTTAAACTTCCTGGTTTATAGCTTCAAGCAAATTACTGAATTGAGTTGAGGTTGATAAAAGAGGAGGGAAAACCCCAGATCTTAGGATATGACGGACATAATTACTGCTTACCACCTTTGTTAGTTTGAATTTTCACAGAGTTTCTGAATATCACACATTGTTTAGTTGTTGTAAGCATATTCCTTAACCATTTCTTTATCTTGATGCAAATAACAAGCCATGATAATGGTTTACAGGTCAGATATTAACATATACTATTTGAAGCATTTTTCGAAAATTTTGAAGCCACAATTAGAATGATGCAATTTGTTTGTCGATTTGTCCCATTGGCAAAGATTAAGACATGGGGTTTTCGCCCCTCTTGGTTGACAATGAGTCTTAACTATGAGTATTGCAGTGGCCAAAATGCCTGGATGTAATGTATCTAAACATAAACTAATTGTTCCCTATATTGGGGTTGTCAATTAAAATATAAAGTGTGACCCAGCAACCAATCCAGTAAATCATGCCTGATATTTTGTATGTTGCTGCCTGCAAGGTATGACATGAATCCAACTGGCATTCCCAAGTTTTTCTCGTGAACAAAAGAGGTTCATTGAATATATATATGGAGTTTCAATTTTAAGCTGTCATTGTCACAGCTCATGATGGAAGGCTCTCTAATATTCATCGTGAGTCTGTTGGACCATGCATTGTCTATGCACTTGGATACGAGTTCAAATTAATTTCTGACATCTTGACTGTGAAATCTCCAACTCATCCATCTTTCTTTGCATTCATCCATCCACTCTTATGATATCTTAATCCTTGAATTATTGTTCATTGAATCCATGGTATTGTCATTTTTTGGTTGACATAGAGGGCCTAATATGATGGCCTCCTCATCCATCTGTTTGTCCATTGATCCATCCTTCTGTCTCTTTCAATTCAGACATTCTCCTCTATTTATAACTTTGAAAACCTGAAATTATTGTTGTTTTTAATTTCCACTTTTCAGGCACTTCCAACAGGACCGTTGCAGAAACACAGATGAATCCCCGAGCAGTAGAGCCCATAAAGTCGTAACAATCATATTTGATCATCATTTTAACCCTGACAACCTGAAATTATCGTTGTTTTTAATTTCCACTTTTCAGGCACCTCCAACAGGACCGTTGCAGCAACACAGATGAACGCCACAAGCAGTAGGCCTGACAACCTGAATTTATTGTTTTAATTTCCACTTTTCAGGTACTTCCAACAGGACCGTTGCAGCAACACAGATGAACGCCACAAGCAGTAGGCCTGACAACCTGAATTTATTGTTTTAATTTCCACTTTTCAGGTACTTCCAACAGGACAGTCGCAGCAACACAGATGAACGCCACAAGCAGTAGCCCTGACAACCTGAATTTATTGTTTTAATTTCCACTTTTCAGGCACTTCCAACAGGACCGTTGCAGCAACACAGATGAACGCCACAAGCAGTAGAGCCCATACAGTCGTAACAATCGTGTTTGATCAGATCATTAAAAATGAGAGTGGTCAGGAGACTAAAAAGAGCAGTACAATGAATCTTGTAGATTTAGCAGGTATGTTGTCCAATGTCACACTACACCCCAAAAAATGCAATCTGATTTTCGACGCAAATTTTGGTGTCGAAAGGTTTCGGTGCCGGAAGGGTGTTGAAACGGTGCTGGAATAGCGCCGAATTTTATCGATGCCGAACAGCACCGAATTATATTGGCTGTGTAAATCTCATATAAAGTGAATAGAAAATTATATTTATATTCTGCCCTATTGTTGTCTGCTGATGCTCCTGCTTGTATGACATCACTTCTCTAGAATTTGAATAGACTACCACATTTTTGACATCACTTCTCTAGAATTTGAATAGACTACCACATTTTTGCATTTCTATACAAATTACAGTGTCACTATTAACTTTATTTTCCCGATTCCAGTATATGACTCTTTTTTTCAATATCAAGTACCTCTAAATATTTGAAAAAATGCCTTATATGTGGCTTTTCTATACAATTTAGGGTGTTTTCTACATGTCTGTTTACTTGATTGCTAACTAATTCCATTATTTTCCAATATTATTTGCTTTTCAAAACATGACTCTCCATCTTATACTTCCTAACTAATTCAATTATTTTCCAATATTATTTGCTTTTCAAAACATGACTCTTCATCTTATACTTCCAAATTAATTCAATTATTTTCCAATATTATTTGCTTTTCAAAACATGACTCTCCATCTTATACTTCCTTACTAATTCAATTATTTTCCAATATTATTTGCTTTTCAAAACATGACTCTTCATCTAATATACTTTAGGTTCTGAAAGAGCTGACAGCACTGGGGCAACTGGGGACCGTCTCAAAGAGGGTGCCAATATCAACAAATCTTTATCCTCCCTCGGAAATGTCATCTCAGTAAGTATTTTATATGTTTATTAGGGGTTTGATCACATATATATTACTAATGTTATTCTGCAATGGGCTTTTTGTTTAGAACCTTTATTTGGATAGGAAACTTAACGTCAGAAGGGGATTTAGGACAATATGTTGGTGGGGGCTAAAATATTCTTTGGAGCTTTAGATATCACAAAGGACTAAACTTCAAAAAACTAAAATTTTGAAGATATTCCAAAAGATAAAATATAATTCTATAGGCTTTAAAAGGGGTATTTAACAGCATTTTGAGAGGAGTTTAAATGTTGGAAATTGGGCAAAATTCTGAGACTATACAACTCTATGTGTAATTTATTTGTTCAATATTAATATTAATTTTTATGTAACTCTAGGCTTTGGCTGATCTGTCCATGGGAAAGAAAAAGGTCATGGTGCCCTATCGTGACTCTACCCTAACAAAACTTCTACAAAATGCGCTTGGTGGTAACTCGAAGACTATAATGATCGCAGCTCTATCCCCTGCTGATATAAACTATGATGAGACACTGGGGACGTTGCGATATGCTGACAGAGCCAAGAAGATTAAAAACAAAGCTGTTATTAATGAGAATCCAATGGACAAACTTGTCAGGGAATTAAAAGTAAGTAATTTTATGATCTTTTGTTTCTTTGTGTTCGCTGCTTGCTGGTCGCATTACAATATTTAACATGATAAAAGATTTGTTCGCCATAAGTTAATAGTTACACATTAAAGTGCATAATCACAGTTACGTTACGTAATATTACATTACAGTATAGTTAAAGTAAGTAATTGTTTGGGATATGCAGGGTGATCCAAAAAAAGTTAATTTGATGAAACTGATATTTGCCTTTGAATCGGTTATGAAACTAAATTTTGACAAGATATATGATTTATACATGGTTGTCATAAAGAAAGTTATTTTCTGCATTTGTTTATTTGATCTGACAGGTACCAATAAAGAACATTTTCTGATTTTCAGCATTTATGCAGAAATTTAATTTTGCCTTTCTGTCAGTTGAATTACTTTTGTGAATTGGACGCCAGTGGCAAATATGTTTATGTCACTCCACCAATGATTCGGAACATATTGTTAGGCCTCCATTTTTATGGCCAGCAGTTGGTGGTTGGTATTTGGTGGTTGGCTTCTATATCAATCATTAAACTTATAAACATTCCCAATAGTTTATGTTTGAAAGGAAATAATCCTTAAATGTTTTGTTTTAGGAAGAAAATGAGAGACTTAAGAAGGCGATGACTGGAGGTGGAGTAGATCTATCTAACATGCAGGCAGGGCTTTCACCTGAAGGTAATTTTTGACGTCTGCTAATGTCTATTCTACTAATTTCTCCCTAAAATTTGAATGAAGTGTATAATTTTCTTTCCTTTCTTTACAATTTAAAGTGTTTGCTTCGTGTTTGCTTACTTTATTCCTTGCTAATTACACAGCTTTGTACTTCATTTCTGGTTTTAAAATATGAAGGAAATAAAGGATTTGTCAAGTTATTTTGCCTTTTTGAATTAACATTTCTGAATTAATATTTCAAGCAAATACCATTGGATGGGATAAAATTCCAAAGGAGGGTTGGTAATTTGTGTGTTGACCAGTGTTACAGTCCCCACATGAAAAAGTCCCCATGTTAGTGCATATCATGTCATCCACATCTCTGTATCATTATTAATTTCGAAAGTGTCTGTTTTAAAAAGAGAACATTTATATACCCAAAAAAACTACAGTTAAACTCGTTGTAGGTTAATGTTCAGTTTCCTTAGCTGTACTTTTATATTGTTGGTTATCATTTAAAACCTTTTCATAAACTATGTATATGTAGCATACACTTTAGAAGATGAACATTTTGTCACAATATTCATTATTCACAATATCTATCATTGTCAGTACCAGATATTATTTCATTCAAACACATGTCTCATTCTAAATGTTTCTTTGTTCTAGAATGCATTAATACCATTCAATGATCGATTGATCCCAGAATGCATCACCAAGTCATGTGACAGTTTTGTGTGTTTTGTTCACATTCCCTTGTTTTCAGTTCACTTGTAAAAACACTGTTAATAGATGAAGAATTGTATCAAATTTTAAATGGAAACTAATGTCATATTTTCTGCTTTTTAAGTTTTTCAAATTTTTCTTTCTTCGAAGTGTCCATAAACACTCTCTGTACCTTCTCAATTTAATAATGCATATTAATATTGGTTTCACCAACCTGTTTAAATTTAAGTTTGATTTCCAGAAAAAGAAAAAATGCGAAAAGAAATGGAAGAAGAAATTAGAGCGCAGTTACTTGCCAATCAGGAAGAGCTTGATCAAGAATCATCGTCATGGGAAGATAAGGTAACACTTCTGCGATCATGATGTCAAACAAGAAAAAATGTTTAACCTAAAATATAGGATTATAATTTGCTAGCCTTTACTGTTGGAAAACGCAAAAAGGTTTTACAATTTGAATAATGATTTCTTGTTTCAGCTCAAAAATGCACGTGCTGAAGTGGTTGACGATGGTGACACAGCTCGGCGTAAATCTGACCCGCATTTTCTTAACCTAAATGAGGATCCTATGTTATCAGGAAAAGTTGTTTATTTCTTGGATGAAGGAGAGAATACGATTGGACGAAAAGATGCAGATCCAAAACCAAAGATTATGCTCAGTGGGTTAAGGTATGTTTTCTTTAAAATTATAAGTTTGAACAAATATATCAAGATTAAAGTTACCAGCAGTACAATGAACTGCATATCAGAACTTTTTCTAGTTATTTTATTATTTTTACAGTCATTTATAGAGGCATACTGATAAACAGAAACATCTTTTTCCAATAAGTTTTTAAATAGTTTAACATGCCTGAATATGATCTAAAAACATTTTATAGCATCTCTAAAGAGCATGCCATTGTGAAGAACAGCAAAGGTGGCTGTGAAATCAAACCTGCAGGGGCCGGTGCCAAAATCAAAGTAAACGGACAGCCCTTGACAGGCGCAAGAGACCTAGTCCATAAAGATAGAGTCCTATTTGGTAAGTTGTGTATCAATATAGGTTATGTACTGGGAGGTATAAGATATGGGTTTTATTACAAGGATCACAAAGCATTGATATTCATGTTAAGTAATGCAAAAGTGTAACAATTTTGGAATTGTTGAGGCGATTTGACAGTTTTAGGTCATATTTAAATTTCAAGGTAAAGTTTGAGTTCAATAAAATGGATTTAATGATTTATGATTTCGGTCTTATAACAATGATCGCAACAAATTGTTAATCATATATTAATAAAGCCATATTTCCTTTACCTCTGTCCCTTCACCATGATACAATAGTAATAGTGCCATCTTTTTATTTTAGGATCTAGTCATTTATATGTATTTACGAACCCCAAGAAAACTGATGAAGCCCCTAAAGATCTTCCAGGGGATATTGATTGGGAATATGCCCAAAAAGAGATTGCTGAAGCAAAGGGGTTCTCTACTGGAGCTGCTGCTGGTTTATCTAAAGGTATATATTTTTATATACTTCTGGTGGTCTCTAACATTTTTGTGGATGGCGGTTGGTGTTCAGTGTTCCGTGTTCCGTGTCTGCAACGGCATCTGTAACAAATGGTAGATGGTGACATTTTACATGTCATTTATTGTTATTTCACCACCAGAAAGTGATGACTTTGTTGTTACAGCCACTTTTTGTGATCATGGACAGTGTCAGTGTGTTACACTTTTGTAATTTTAAACAAGTGGTGACATTTTGTCGTGTGATTGCCTTGTAATAGGCAATATATGATATGATATATGATAATATATGATTTTTCTTTTTGAATGCTTAAGCAGTACATGAGCCAATCATAATTAAGATTTCATTCACTTCAGATCAACAAATTGCACAGGAGTTAATCCTAGAAGTCTTGCCAATGGTTACTGAAGTAAATGCCATGTCTGAGGAGTTGAATAAACACAGAACATTTGAAGTTGTACTACTTTCTGCTGCTGCACAAGATGGAACTGGAAGTAGTGGAGGGGCGAAAACAACAAAGTGAGTTGCTATGGTGATGATGCGATTAACCTTTACCATGCTGCCTTATTTCAGCAAATATATCCCACGCAACTGGCTTATTTTTCAAAGAGTGCAAAAAATGATATACCTGGACTAAATAATTAATATCTCAATAACTACTGAATGAATCTGGATAAAATTTTCACAAAGGGAAGATACAGTGGCCTGGCTCATGAAAAAAATGTTCTCATGAATTTTTTCGTACATTAACACGACTGGGCATAAATATACCATGAATACTCCTCCGGAATCCGCCGCTCCGCCTCTTCGTCTGGTCAGAATCCAAATCTGAATTTGCAGCGATCGAATGTAAAAAGTAAAGTTTTTAAAAGTTTGAAATCGGGCGTACGGGTCCGCCGGCAGTTGTGAGAGACATTTTAGTCTCGGCGGACGAGTCCGCCGGCAGCACGCTAAAGGTTAATAAAAGAAATGACATATTCCATGCAATGTAATAATTCATTTGTGCCAAAATATATATTGATACTATTACTTGTTCATTTGAGTATTGTCTGATACCAACATGTACAGTAGAACCTATTAAATGGAACACCTCTGTCAATGGAACACTCAAACTTGCCTTTCAGGGTGATGGTAAAAATGAAGAATCTTCTCAATGGCAACACTTGGTTATGGGATCGGGCCAAATTTGTGAACAGACGTTTCATGATGCAAGACCTCTATCAAAGCTGGCTCGATGGTGATGAAAGCGTCCTTAATATTCCAAAAGAGGAGGACCCGTTCTGGGAGCCCCCTGAGGATGTCCTTATCGGCACAGGTCATGTATTCCTTCAGTCGCTCCTGTGGGGACTCGAGTGGGATGTGTCTGTGACGATAAATGACTACAAAGGTCAAGACGAGGGATCGTTGCACATAGTTTTGACGCCTTGTAATCAAAATGGAAAACCAATAGAAGATGAGTTTTTGGACGAAGATGAAGATCAGCTAAAAGGAAAACCATATCATTTCAAGGTAAGTGACTTTATTTCTCGCAAAGACTCCTATTATAATTTATATCAGTGTAACATACTCTTTGCTGTGTTCTTTTTAACCTAGGACACAGCAGTAATTGTAATTTTCTTACCCTGTTTATTATTCTTTTGTATAATATGGTATGAAAAGATCAATTCCATTAATGTGACGTTGTATTGTGTCAGTCCCAATCAAGGATTGGGGTTGCATTTTAATATAATTGAAGAAATGCATTCAAATATGTATGGCTAACAAATTATAATTATTTTCAGGTTGAAATCAAACGAGCTGAAATTCATAAAGCAAGATTTTCAAAAGGTCTGAAAGTGAAATATCATGTATATAAAGATGATAAGGCCATTGAGACGCCAGTAATAACAGGGACACTTTCCCCAGAGTTTAAACACTCCCACATAGTCTCATTCCCCAATGTCACGGATGACATCATGGAATACTTCAAAAATGATAACATCACATTCAGTGTTTATGGGAAACAGGAGGATGTTGGAGGTGATGCTAAATTGTCAAAACTTACTACGAAGGTAGGAAATGTGAAAATGTATTATTTAAAATACTATTATTATCTAAAATTTGTGATGAAAATTTGTATTTTGTTCATATAATTTGTATCTCAATGGGAAAAAATTTAATTTTAAAAAATTTTGAAAATTGCAGAACTGTCCATGATTAAGCTTGTTTGCTTTTCTAGGAACTCCGACAAATGGATCACATTAACAAACCCGAATCAACAAGAAAAAATACCCAGCAGGCATTTGGTCTCGATCAATCATCTGACCAATCACAGCTCAAGTCAGAAATGATGTTACTTCATCGGAAGTTTGAACGTCTTGAAGCCAAGGAGCGTAGAATGCAAGTAAGGATGCCTTTAAGAAGTATCAATGATCTATGAAGAAAACTTCAAGAAGAACAAATGTATTTAGTTCAATTTTTGAGATTTGATGGATGTAATACAAAAGTGTTAATACTGTATATACTTTACTCAGGCTGACTTGTAGGAACAGTCATAAAATTCTCTTCCCAATTAACATTCTCTTGACTTTATATATAAGGGGTCTTAATTGTCTCTAATACCCCATCAACAGTCTTTGGTATAAAGCTTCTTTCCTAAAGATACTGAGGGTTGAATTTTTTCAAGCTTTAATATTTGAAGAAAAGAAAGTTTGCAATAAAGTATATTGATGGTGCATAGAACTACCAGACATTGATGGTGTAAAATCATGGATTTTATAAACAGAATAAGGCAACTTTCCCTTTTCATCAAATGTCATACTTATATAGAAAATGGGCATGCATTGGACACTCTAACTTCTAGAGAAATGCCAGAATATCTGGTAGTTTTTGTGAGAAGCAGACCTTTTAAGAACATTAATATTATTTATTCAATAAGGCAAATAATTTGTACTACTTAAGTAATATAAATTATTACTGTTTTTTAACTATCCCATGTATAAAATAACATTGTGGTTTGCCTTTTTTCCTCATGATTTTGGTAAAGGAAGTAAGGAAAACAATTAAATATTTGAATTCTTCCATATATATACACTGTAGCTTAAAACAGAGAACCATTATTTATTCTTAAATAATCAAGAAAACTGGGAAACGTTTAACCACAATGATATTTTTGTTCACATTTTTATTAGAAATGGTATTCAGGTATTTTCAGATTCAGGCTCTCAGTGCTACCACCTATGAAACACTTTTTGTACTAAATTGCCTCCGTGTTGTAAAACCTAATTTTTTAATAGATATTTACTAGCAACAGTTTTTTTAGTGATCCTTAGAGGTGTGATAGGTTTCTTTTTATAGTGTATAATGTTGTGTCTACTGTTTTACATTTCAACCTTTCTCTTTGATCCATTGATAATCTAAAAATCTAAAAAGGCTCCTAAAATATGTATTTACAAGTCAGTTGCCACTTGCACTAAAAATTGCAAACTATGGCTACTTTCCCAGATAAAAGTCTGAGAAAGTTTAAATTTTATATTTGCAATTACGAGAAATTATGAATACTCAAATTCTCCATCTTGACTAATAAATGTCTTGCTTTCACCAATATGATGTCTTGACTCATATAATACCGTCACTAATATATAATGTCTTGACTCATATAATGTTTGGACTAATATAATGCATTTGCAAATATAATGTCATGGCTAATGTAATGCATTTCCCAATATGTAATGTCTTGACTAATATATTATGCGTTTCCAATATAATGTCTTGACTAACATAATATCTTGACTAATATATTATGCATTTTCCAATGTAGTATCTTAACTAAATGACTTGACTAATATAACACATTTTCCAATATGTATTGTCTTGACTAATATATATTATGTGTTTCCAATATAATGTCTTGACTAATATAATGTGTTTAGTAGTTCTACTAAAATAATAATGCATTCACCTGTGTAATGCCTTGAGTAATGTCTAATGACTAATATATTTTGACCAATTCTATGTCATGACAGTATGATGTCTTGACTAATAATGTCTTGACTGATACCATGACAAAAGACAGCCTTGACTGATGTTATGTATTGACTGATACCTTATCTTGATTCATATCGTTTGTTGTTTCACTTTTTTTGTCACTACACTATCTTGCACTTTTTCCTAACAATTTCTGTTTTTTTATAATCAAGAGGGCATATAGAGGAAACGGATGTTACTATGAAATAAAGTGGGAGAAAATGATGTTCTTTATATTTGAAATTATTTGAGTCTGAACATTAGGAACAGAATAGGTCATGTAGTACATATTCAGATTTGACCTGAATCAACAAAAATGGTTTTGATTATCAGCCAAAAAGGAGAACTGCTTATGTTGACCTTTTTCTTATCTAACTTGCTAATACTGTGCATTAGATGTTCTTGCTTCGCTTACGCCTTCCTTTCTTTGGTTTGTTTGTTCTAGGCGCTATGTAAAGAATGGCAATCAAAGCCGGACGAACAGAAAAAATTCCGCGAATTTTACGAGGCAATTAGGGAAGTGGCACACATGGGTGGGAGCGCAAATGAGAGTACTGAACCAAACAACAATAAAAATACAGTAAGTCATGTCTTGTTGTATTTCCCATAATGCACTGCATGCTTACGGGGCATCTTAATTTAAATTTTCAGCAAATTTGCCAGGAATGGAACACTAAGCCAGCATCTGAGCAAGATTTTGAGGCATTTTTCCGAGCTGTATCGGCAGTTGCGAATAGCTCTGGAACAAGGCTCAAAACTCGAGTCCAGATAATGAACAGGGTAAGATGTTTTATAATGCACGTGTCTTTAAAAAAGTAATTTGTTAACAGAGTCAGGTTGATGTTTTATGTGATTGATAAATTGGGCATCCATAGTCTGATTTGGGTTAATTACCCAAATAAAATGGTTGCCAATGAATTTTGTCCAGTTAAAAAATATTTCAGTTGAGTTCTCCGATCTTTGGCTTTGTGTCTTTGCCTCTGGATATGTGCTTTGAGCCACTGAAAAGGTCAAACACATTTAGAAACATTTGGGTAGAAAAGGCTTTTTGTTTTAATTTTTAGTTTACTTTTACTTTAAGTCTTTTAAGATCACATTATTCTTCTTGCACACCTAAGGATAATACTTAAATGTGATACTGATCATATCATGAAAAGCAAAATACGAAATGAGTGGAAATGGCAAGGAATGATGTAAACAGGCATGTAACCAAAAGCTTAAAGTTTAGAGAAGAATACAAGAAATAACATGATCATATACATTGTGCACTTCTGTCTAAGTTGTATGTTTTATTTTTTTGTGTTTATGTTTGTTTGTCTGTTTATGTTTATTCCTATCTTTCTGTTTCTTTTCTAGCACTTGGTAAGCTGATTTTCTTTTCCCCATGTCATCGTCATTTCTCAGCATTTAGATAAAATAATCTTTTCTCACATCATTAGATAAAATAATCATCTTAGGCATGCTGTTTAGTTGAAATCATCATTTTTTCTCATTATTTTTTAGCAGTCATCATCATATATCATCATTTAGATAAGTCATAAACTTGATCATCATGAATCATGAATTTCTCATCATTTACAATATGGAATCATTCACATTTCCGTTCATCAATTTGATAATGGCATTAAAATTGTTTTACAAATATAATTTTGTTAAGAACCTTAACATTATTGTCACGCATTCGTAACTCTAATTTCAACCTATTTATTTTTCTATTTCTTTTGCTACAATTTCTCTGCCTTTTTCATATTTTCTAATTGGAAGAGAAAAATCAGAGAGGAATTAAATTAATGATTAAACTCTTGAATTTAAATTGCATATTTTTGTTTTTATTTATTATTTAATTTATTTGCTTTGGTATCCTTTATTATACGAAAAGTATAATATTTCCCTGTCAAATTTATTTTTTATATAAATGATATTTATTTTTATTAGGTTATGATTGGCCCTAAGGTATTCACAATAAATAGATAATACTTTTTTATTTGTTTGTTTATTTTGATAGACATGTTTCATCCATGGAGATAATGCATTTTTTATAAAACAGAATAAAAATTGAGAAAAATGTGCATGATCGCCAAGAAATCTTTGGTTAACATTCTTATATCTGATAAAAACAACTTTGTGAATTACACTTATACTATGGTGGTGGTGACGCTCAATCGAGAAAAACTCTGTTTCACCTGTCATTTCATTGATAATTGCATTGTGGGTTGCAAAAATACCTCCTCTGCTTCACCAGTCATTTTGTGGAATTGTTGGTAATGGGAAATACTTCATGTGCTTTGTATACTCTGTTTTGTCATATGATGTAATTTTTGTTTTTGTTTATGCCATATTGTAAATAATATCGTCCAATATCTGTGAATTTAAACAAATTATTTTAATTATAATATTCTGTAAAATTGAACTTTAATTGTGTTGGTTTAAAATTGATTTCTTAAAGTTTTGTCATATCACACATGAAAAATTAATTATTTGATTATATTTCTTTTAAAATTCCATAATTAGATTTTATTATATTGAAATTCAAAAAATATGCATACGCAAATAAAATAACAGAATTAATATACATGTACTATACTATTTATCGATGAATTACTACGTTCTGTTAATATACTATATTATTTATCTATGAATTACTACATTCTGTTAAATTTATATTTTGATGTGTGATATGCCTTGACTGTCTTCATGCAAAGGAGGTAATATATATCCCATGTATTATCAATCATATTTTGTTACCATAATCAATGATTTACATGGTAAATACCTCCTTTGATAATATCCTGTAAATAATATCCTCACTTTTCAGTCATGTTTTCAAGAGCAAAATATAAAAGAAGCGGCTGTTCAAGGAATTGAGTAAACAGTCATGTAGAAAATATTTAAAATTACTCAGAAAGGCAGGAATCGGACTGTTCAAATTATAAAAATGTACAGTTAAACCTGTTCGAAAAACTGTTCTTTGTAAAGAGGGTTAATCTGTATAAGTAAAATGCCCAAAAGGGAGAATTATTACAGAAACACAGTAGTAAACGAAACACATATTTATTATTAGTTATTTAGCATGACTGGAAAAGAGATTGTTTGCTGTTCCTTATATGGTGTTGGTAATTTGTTATTTAGGTGCTCAAAGGCTATAGAAATATCCATGATGATCGCGGCAGTAAAGATGACGCAGCAGTAGGTTTTCTACTAACACAAATTACTAATCACATTTTGTGTTCAGTTCTTGTGCAAATCTAAGATTCTTTTGTTTCTTGTACCCATTCTGAGCTGGTTTTTATAATGTAATGGAAGGCTTAAGAATTGAGTTGAGAAATGCAAGGATTTTGAATTGTTTACGGAGGTTTCTTTTTTATTTATAGTTGCTGAAAAGATGGTTAAATGGTGTTTCAAAATGGAATATATATTATATAGATATATACGAGTATTAGGAATCCATTCCCTTCTTTTGTATACAAAAAATATTGGTTTCTCAGAATTTTCCTGCATCTAAAATGTCAGAAATCATGTTTTATTATGACAAATAGGCTATCCATTAAAATAGAGAAATAAGCAAGGAATAAAGTAAACAGCCATGTGGTTGACACTCTAAATTATCACATACTTCATTCAAATTTTAGAGAAAATGATGCAAATTAAATGTAATTCAACCAAAAAATCAGGATTCTTCATCGTAATTCAGTAGAAGACAAATAATCATGATAACATTTTAGATCAAGAAATCGCACCCGAATTTCTGCAAGTTACTCCCTGACCTATCATTTTATTTTGAATTCCAAATTCATTTTTCCATCTTTGTATTTACAGTAGTTGTAGGATATTTTAGTAAACTGTAGTTGCATCATGTTTTTACTACTTTTTAGGTCAAATGTGGGCCATTTTTGTATTTATTCACATATTTCTACTCATTATTTTGAATTTGTCAAACTGAAATGACATCTTCAAATTTTGATTGGAAAATTGTGAAAACAACAAATAATTTTGCTAAAAAGTCATCGTTATGAGGCATGATTTTACAGAAAAAATATTTTGGTTGCGATTTTTCAACTAAAATTGACATCCTCTTTGGATTGAGTTTCGCCTCACCTACTTTTGATCTGGAATTATACTATTCAAGAAATTATTTGTTCAATTACAATTTCAAGATGTACAGTATAATAGACCCAGCTTTGTACTAACATTAGATTTTGTTGATATAATATTTTGTGGAGCATAGAAAGAAAGTGAGAATAGGCTTCATTTATAGATATATGAGTAGTTAGTATTTTGATAGACTCATATTACTCAGTGGAGAATCCCTTCATATTGGTTTAATACACATGTTACATAATTTTATATGACAATTTTATATGACAATGTATATGGCTTCTAATGCTGCTTGCCAACCACTTCAAGTGAAAATGTTTGGATTGGTAAACAAGAAATGAGTTGAAAAAAATCAGATTGAATGCTAAATAATGTGTATTAAGTCAAACTCCAAAAGGGACTTTTTCAACAGGGAGAATTGTTTGAATTTAAAAAGTATTCATTTGAGATGTGCATGTTATATGTTAAAGCACCTGTTTGTCTATTGAGCACCATGTAAAATATGTTAAATGAGGCATATTGGGGTATTTCAGTCGACAGGAAAAAGTGACGAGGATACGGTCAGTTTGTATGTTTTTGGAGACAACGAAGAATCGTTAAGTGAAGAAGCAAATAATAATAACGGCATCGTCAGCTATTCAAAAGTAGCTGGACATGTAACTGCTGAAAATGTAAGATTTAAATGCTGTGTGGCATTATGGATAATGGTATACAATTCACAAGTTCAGAAGCCATTTTGAATTTAGAACAAATCTAATTATTTCAAAAGGTGGATGAATTTTGAGTTATGCCCAAATAAGGATGTATGCTGGTATTGCATGGTGTCTGGTATATTAGGTTGAAATTAACTTTTTTAAGATTTTCATGTTTTTATTTGTGTTTAATTTTTCACCATTGAGTTTAAATGAGCTTAGAAAAAACATGAAAATCTGAAAATTTTGGACAAAATGCATGACGATATACGATATCAAAGTCCATTTCCTCGAATTTTCATTACTTTACACTTCGTTCATGGATCGTAATTGATTCAATTAAAAGGTATCAGCATATAGCACTGGTTTGGGAAGCATCTTTCATTCACAGGGGGAGGAGGGTCAGTTCCTAGGTTGACCCCCACCCTTATTTCCCTTTTACGAAGATGCTTTATACACTGGCTGTTACCATCACTGACCACCCTCCCCAATGCTCCAGATCTGCTGTTTTTATTTTCGGACATCCCCCTACACGTTTGATTTTCTAGAAGAGTTCACATGCTGTAGTTATTGAATGAAACACTTTAAATACACTATTATAGATACATGTTTTTTCTAGGATTTATTATTATCTTTATCCTAGGTTTTATTAACTCAGTCAAAATATGAGAAAAATCTTCAAGTAATATTTGATTGCACTTTGTCATTGTTGTTAAATGGATAATTGTTTAGCTGTGGGATAGAATTTAGTCCAGTTTAGTCACAATTTTCTGTATAAGATAGAATATGGCCATATTGCTTGGATGTGTAGGAATGCTTGAAAATGTAGAATTGCTTGAAAATATAAGAGTGCTTGAAAATGTGGAATGCCCACATTCCAAATTGCTAATACCAGTATAGTATGTTGATATTATTGTAGGTGTTTTTCTACAACATCTTTAAACACTGACAGAAACAAATTGAAAGTGTAGAATTGCTTGAAATTAAGGATTGATTGATTTTTAGAATTGCTTAGCATTGCTTGATTGTTTGAAATTTAGAATTGCTTGAAATTTAGGATTGCTTGAAATCTTTCATGGTTTACATGTACATCATAATCGCGGATATTCATAGATAAAATGTACATGCATATTTGTTTTAGAACAGAAAAGGTCACTTTAAATTAGAGTTTGTGCTTTGTTAGTGAAGTATTTGGGCCTAGTGAATGCATGCCAGGCTTGTTTTGCCATGTTTTAGCATCTTAATTAAGAGAAAACAAAAAAGGAACAAAATATATAGACATGTACTGTCATCTTTAATTTGGCGACACTTATTTTGGCGATTTTTGGTATATTGAAGTCTATTTAATTTGGCAGCACCCTCACATCTAACCCAATTCTCATTGTCAGTGTAATTGACAAACAATATCTTCGAATATTCCTAAATTTTAACTGCCCACCATTTTGGTATATTTCTTTAAATCAGATGTGCACCAAACAAAAAACATGTCAGATTCCTTGGGATTTTGGTGAGTATATCTAACAAGTTTAATTCGCCAAAATTAAAACGCTTGCCAAATTAAAGACAAATGCAGTAGTTGATACGTCATTCAAAGAATGAGTAAATGGGATGAATAATCCACAAGAAACAGTGGATGCATGCATGCTTAATATTGTTTTTCAGAGTAGACATAGTGCTGGAAAAAGAATTGCTTTGGTGTGACCTTCACAAATTGTCACATCAATTTGATTTCACACCTTTCATTTTATAGTATACTTTTGACATGTTTATATTTTTAAAGTACTAGATTGTATGTTGTTGTTGTTTAAAATTGCATTTAAAATATTTCCTGTTTTGCAAAATGAAGGGACAATATTATTGTATATTAATCTATTGTAATAAAAATTGAATAAACAATTTTATTATATTAAAAAGCTGTAAACATTATGGTTCAAAAATGTTTGAATGTGTAATAAAAATAATTTAAATATTTATAATAAAAGTTCATTTGGAATAATTGAAAACTTGAACAAAAGTGATTTTTCAAAATGATATTTATAAAAAACAGATAGATAGGCCTAATTATAAGATATTTAGAATATTACGGAAATACTAGTAAATAACAAAAATTACCGGAAATTTATTAATAACATGAAATTTGCTATATTTGTAGATGCTTCAAGCTCAAAAGAAAACTGCAGCCAATGGGAATGCAGCAAAAGGTCCAGCGAGCGATACTAAAGTGAAAGCGGAAGGTGGCAAGGAGAAAAAAGGGAGCAGTGCCTGTATTGTGATGTAATTGGACAATCAGAATTGCGTTCTCCAATATTACCATATTTGGAGTTTGAGGCATTAAAATCAGTCAAAGAACTTAAAGATATGATTTTGTGATGTATTTTTGGCGTCATGATGAAATGTGGTGTACTAAGGAACTATTGATCCATTGATGATGTCAAGATGGATTATTCAGGGTGTCATAATGGAGTCATTGTGATGTCATAATGGAGTACTTACAGTGTCACAATAGGTTGTTCATGATGTCATAATGTAGTAGTCACATTACGTCATGGTGGAGTACTTATGATGTCATGCAGTACTAGTGATGTCATAAAGGAGTGATTATGATGTCATAATTGAGTACTCATGATTTCATCATCAACAGTCAGTATCATGCTAATCAAGTAACAATGCATTAATCAAATCAATGCGAAATAACTTAAATCGATGAGTTATACTAAAGTATATGAAATTTATTTAAATGAAGTATGTAAAATTTAGTCGAGTTATGCTGGAAATAACTATGGCACATGTATTTTTACATTTAATGAGCAGATCATGAGAAAAAGTCGTCACAAGGCTGATGTAATTATGCAACAGAGATGTGGTACTGCTCCCTTAGTAAATTATGATTTTGTTAGACCTACTAACAGTCTTAGGCTGAGATATGTGAGTTTACTGTTTAGTAAACACTTCCTCATTTATGTTGAAGACGATTAAAAATCTCTTTTTTATTTCATTTTGTATGGAATTAAACGAAATACATGATATAACAGTATAAGCATAATTCATTAATTTAACAGAAATATGTGCTTATTATATGTATAATTATGGATAATTTTAAAATGTGACTTTCACAAACTGTTATTCTATATAATCTTTCCACAAAAATAATAATGTAAAACAAAGAGCTAAATGGCTCTAGCTTATATAAAGGGCATCCAGAAAGTTGCAATTAACATATCTAGAACAATTGTAAATGAGGATTTTCAATATTTGTAAATCATACAATATTCCAGTGTATTTACTGCTGATGTGATTTAGCATACTCTGTGATTCCATTAATTAGTAAAAATTCTTACAGTTCAGCAATTTGATTTTGTTTAATAGCTGACATGTAATTTTTTTACATTTTTTCATAAGACTATTTTGTATCTATTTTTCATTTTTTGTAAATGATGATTGAAATGATGAAACTGTCAGTTTTCATAGAAGTATGTTCACTAGAGGTGTCAAGTATTAACCGGTTAACCGGTTAACCGCCGATAATGCCTTGACCGGTCTGTGTTTTTATGGGCGGTTAGTTGACCGTGTATAATTCTGTTATTTCCCGCGCTTATTTTGCATGCTAATGCGTTTGGTTTTATGGTGTCAGTTTCACGTAAGCTACTCATACATGTCATAAGTCCCATAACTCCTTACAAACATCCAATCAGCAACTTTAATCCCTGCCACATTGCTTTCCCGCTCTTACTTTGCATTTTAATCTGTTTGTTTTTCAAGCGTCAGTTTCATGTGAGCTACTCATACATGTGATAGGTCCGATAATTCCTTACAAACATCCAATCAGCAACTTTAATCCCTGCCACATTGCTTTCCCGCGCTTACTTACATAGAATAGAGTAAGCCTTGACGAACGTAAAAATAAACGCCGATATATCATTTTTCCAATTTTTTTCAACTTTCAAGATCGAAGATGAAGATTTCATTTGAAATTATCAGTTCAAATTTCCCGCCGGTTAACCGACTTTAACCGGTAAAAACCCCCGGTTAACCGGTTAATGCTCAAGCGGTTAATTGACACCACTAATGTTCACTGATTAAGAAAAGTATTTAGGTCATGTTTTAAAATTCAAAATTTAATAGAAAGTAGAGGGAATAGCAAGGAAAGTGAACATACCAGGCATAAAATTAATACTCTGACTTTTTACTGTATAGAAATCTCAGAAAATTAGGTGGTTTACTCAGATTTTAGAAAGAAATGAAGAGGAAAAAACACAAGCAGATGACATAAGTCATTTGAAACTTATCAGTTCTCAGTCCATATAATATCCGTCCAAAGGAAGTACCTTTAACTTTCAAAGTCCAAGATTTCTGATATGTGATTCGTTTAAATCAAGTCATGTGATATGTGAAAATAGGGACAGAATTAAAATGTAATTTTGTCCATTAAATTCATTCCAATTATATTGTATGTATATTTGTGTAGAATATTGTACATATATATCATTAAATATATTTTTTGTAAATTGCTGAGTATATGGAAGTATTTAAAGGTTGTGTATGTGTTCTAATTGCATTTAATTAAAAAGTATAATCAGAACTAATTTATCATATTTTTTTATCCAAAATAAATTCAATCCAATTTTTCTTTATTTTCAAAGGAAAATAGCTTTTGGATTTTCATGTACTTTGAAAATACTGTCTAATGGTATTAGAGGTTTTTGTAACCTAAATTGAATTAGTACCGTAATTTATATATTATTTCTCCTGGCCATGTAGCTATGGAAACAAAACTGTGACATCATAGTAGGGGAACAATTTGCTTTTTTTATTAATACATGTTGCTATGGGAACTGTGAAAACATGATGGAAGAACATTTGACTAGATATACACCCAGGGGTACATTACCATATAAATAATGTTCCAAGTTCTGAAAATTCCCATTCCAATTACAAACAAATAGTCTAGTAATAATTACCAGAGGCTTTCTAAAATTTGAATTGTAAATTAAGTTGCTGTTTCCATGGATACCATGATGTCATAGTAAAAAAATCTAGACTTAGGAATTCTTTAAGAACTCTTTTTTGTAATAGCACCATACAGCCATAGGTGTATTGTATAAAAGTGTCTAGTCATATCTGCTACTCAATCAAAACTACACAATCAACATATCAAAGGTTCATTACCAATATTAATGTAATCTACTTTTGTCATAAATGTATTTTATTTTTCTCACTAAGAGACATGCTACCTATAAATATGTATTTTTTTCATGTAATAAATGACACACTCCCTTTAAAGGAGAAAATCATTTCACAAATTTAAGAGTAGAATTCATATTCTAAAATTTGATTTAGGGTTAAACAATTATGAAAGAAAATTATGTATAAAAGTATAAAAATTAATATTATACATTTCTTCTAATGTTTATGACTATATGTACATAATGTAAACTTGATATATTTTGATTAATTATGATATGTAAAAGAATTTTACCATTTATCTATAAAACTTTTTCACAAATAAATAATGAAAACTACTCTACTTTTCATGTGTTTTTTATATTTGCAATTGATTAATACCTTTAAACCTTTAAATAACAATGCCATTTTCATATATTTATACAAGGTGTTTCATAATGACTGTACCCCCATCAACCACCAATCCCAAATAGCATATCAGCATATGTTATTATCCCAACAAACGAAGTTCGGTAGGGATATAGTGAAGCCCTCCGTCCGTCCATCCGTCAGTCCGTCAGTCAGTCAGTCAGTCAGTCAGTCAGTCCGTCCGTCTGTCCGGAAGATAACTCAAATACTAGTAGACGGATTTTCTTCATATTTAGTGGAAAGATGTATATTGGTGAATAGTTTTACGCAAAAAAAAAATTTTTCAAGATGGCCGCCGCTTTAAAAATGACGGGACTTTTTCGCAAAAATCATAAATTTTTCATTCTGAACCAAAGTAATTAATATTATTGTTTGAAATTTTGGTAGTATATTCACAACATTTATCTATTTCACATATATTCTGTGTTTTTCATCCTGACCCCCAGGGGCCGTGTATGGGGGGACAGGAAAACAGAAATTTTCGCTAAATTTTAGATCTTTCTAAAGTATAGCTTTATTATACTCAAATGAAAGGCAATTAAGAGTAGATTGCAAATATTGTATCTTTTTTCTGATTCGAGCCTCGTAAAATTCAAAATGGCCGTCTAATGTACGATTTCGCAATAATTTTTTGATCCCTTCAAAGTATGGCTATATTATACTCAAATTGAAGGAATTTTGGAGTAGATCACAATTATGGTATTATTTTTCAGATTTGTATCTCAGAAAATTCAAAATGGCTGCTTTGCAGGAATTCGCAATTCTAAAATCTAATTTTTTCAATTTTAACCAATGTAACGAGTATAATTGATTGGAATTCGCTAATTGATATTTTGTTCGTTGGGATTTGCTACTCCGCGGAGTTGCCGTTATCTAGTATATCATATGAAAGCTTGTTCAATTCTGGACTAATTAAAGCAACTGTGAAGAAGCTCAATGGTCTTTACAACTTGCTACATACCTCTACAAAAGGTACCCATTTTACCTTAAGCATAGAATCTTATATCTACATTTTTTTCAAAAACTAGCCATGTGCCCTGCAAACAGCTATGATAACCATGCCTCAAGGGTCAATACACCTTTACCTAAAGTAATGTACAACTTCTAAAATTTGATGGATGCTGAGGATATATCCCAATGATATTTGAAAGACAAAAGTATTAAATATTTCAAAGAAATACCCAGAAAGCTCTTGGTGATTCAATGGATTATATAGCAATGCTCCTCTCTTTAAATCCATTAGAAATGGTGGCCACAAATCATGCATACTGAGGGTATAGTGATTATCAAACATAAGTTTACAAATTATGTTCTCATTGACCAAAATTTGGCACATAAGTCCAGAATTAGATAACCTTTACTAATAACTGTGCCAATTAAACTGCTTAGGTTGCTCGCAACCCTGGTTGCATCGTAAAGAAAACAAACAAAAACATTTGCCAACATCATAGCTTGCACTTGAAGTCTCCATGATGTGATAGAATTTAATGATTCTTAGACATTCAAACATGATAGATGTAATTCCCGGGAAAAAAACAAAGTGGTAGTGTTTCGTACAGTGTAAGCTTCACCTCGTAATTCAAGATGTCAGCCTCCATACTAAGAAAAATGTTTTGCTTAAAAAGTGCGATTTGTTGCCAAGACAAGCTATTATCATATGTATTTAGAAAGCAGAATATATGTGCTACATCATATCTTTCTAAATATAGCATTGAAAAAAAATCTGATAAAAAATTGTCAAAGTTATTGTCCGGAAAGTCTGCAGGCATCAGTAAAAAGTGAGTAAAAATTTTAAAAATAAAAAAAACTACATGTATTATGAGAGTCTAGCTGCTAATCGAGGCCTATATGCACATGACCATGTTATAATATATCCATTAACTATTGTAAGCTTACATATTGATAGTTCAACGTCGTTAAACTCAATAACGGCGTTCTAGGAATTTTCTTGGGGCAGTTATTAGCCGGGGCCATAAGACATGTCAGATAAGAAACAAGGCCCAGGCTAGGTCTAATGTTGTTGGACTAACATATTGATAGTTCAACAAGTTAAGGTTCAGCTGGAAAGTAACATTTTGGTAAAAAATTGCTATACCTGCACATGTTATTTTCTGGTACATAATTAAGTATGAAGGCATGTGTGTATTTCCTTGCTTTTTTCAGGAAAGTATCATTACACTGTCTACTTTTAGTAAACCTGGAAACAGGTCAATGGTAGCTCCTGTGTTGTCTGGAAACTTTGAAAGAAAATTTGGAAAAACAGGAAGTGTGAAATATCAGAATTCCCTGGAGTTCCCTTTGAACGCCTACCAGATATTCTAAAAGAAAACAATGTAATGATACTTTCCTGAAAAAAGCAAGGAAATTGATACATGATTTCATACTTTATTTTGTACCAGAAAATAACATGTGCAGGTATAGCAATTTTTTACCAAAATGTTACTTTCCAGCTGTACCTTAAATCTAGTCTGGGCCTTATTTCTTATCTGACATTTCTTGTGGCCCGCCCTGGGTTTAACATCCGTGCCTATTCGGCCCTTGATGCAAAAATTTTTAATGATGGCCTATGGCAGCGCATAGAATTCCATGCGCGTTTTATTTATAACTGATAGTGAGAATTTGCAACCAATGAAAGCATAGCACGGAAGTTAAACCCAACCACGGCAACAAGAACACTCAGATTATAAATGAAAGCCGTGGTATTGGGTTTAACTTGTTGAACTAACATATTGATTGACGAACAACCCAACTGAAATTATTCTTCAAAAAACAAACATGGGCTTCTCACAGCTGTCGATCCAAATGCTGCAAAAGGGAGGGACTCTCAGTCTGTATTACAGTGTAATGTACCAACAGAAAGGCATTTTTGTTTTGCTTTTAATCTGAGACTAGCAGTCTCAGCTTTTAATAGAACAAGTTTGAAGAAAAACAATGCAGTATGAGAGTCGCTAACCTGGTTTTCAAACACTAAAATTCAAATTAATGGTCATAGTTGGCACCACATGAGTGGACAGGGTTTGGTAGGTTGGTCTATTATTATAATTATCTATATTTAACAGTACTTATAGATATGTCACATCTGTCATAGGCATTGTGCAATTTTTATGTTTATTAACATGAAAGGGATCTTACTTTATAGATGGCTCTGATACTAAATTGTACCACCTTTCAGACTAGCCATCGGGAAGTGTTGGAAGCTTGTGGTCATTTTTTTAAAAACTAACACCAAAAATTTGGGCCATTTTTAGTCAAAATGAAAAAGTTCAACTCTCTTTTACAGACGTGTAGCTTCATAAATCATTTTATTTTTTGCAGGAAAAAGTGGTATGAAAATAAGCCAACTCCCACAGTAAGTTATTTTTAGTTTATGTTTTATTTATTTCATAATACTAATCAACAAATAAGTGCAGGGCCTATGCCCACAGTAAGTCATTTATTTTCTCAAATAGAATAAACTGAGTGGACTGTGCAATTTTTAAAGTAAATTATAAATGTATAGTGAAATCTGTGTTGTGAAACAACTCTGTTGGTGGAAAACCAGAGTCCAAAAACCAACTGACTTAATGCTAAATAATCCTTTATAAGTAAAACACCTCCCAAGTGGAACACTTTAAGAGGTACCAGAGGTGTTCCACTTAGTCAGGCTTTACTGGACTCACACGATATAATACCAGAGGCCTTTAAGTTTATCAGTGATCTAGTACCTGGCATTAGAGCAACTGGATTATCTCTATATCATAATTTCCAATAATGTTGCCTGATGTTTTGAAGTTTTGGAACCAGAAGTTGCAGAGTTGTGACATATTGATACATTGTCTCCCAACTTTTTTATGAATGGTATTTTGTGTTCAGCAGTCGGCTTTTGGTGTTTTTTGTATGTAACAAATGACAGATGGTGACATTTTACATGTTAATGCCTTGTTTTGTCTATTTGTCAAAAGTATAAAAGAGATTCCTACATAATGAAATTTTTTATAAATTAGATTCGGTGTTCAGCAGTCGGCTTTTGGTGTTTTGTGTCTGTAACAAATGACAGGTGGTGACATTTTACATGTAAATGCCTTGTTCTGTCTATTTGTCAAAAGTATAAAAGTAATTCCTACATATGAACTTTTTTATGAATTAGATTCGGTGTTCAGCAGTGTTCTTTTGGTGGTTTGTGTATGTAACAAATGACAGGTGGTGACATTTTACATGTTAATGCCTTGTTTTGTCTATTTGTCAAAAATATAAAAGAGATTCCTACATATTAAATTTTTTTATGAATTTGATTTGGTGTTCAGCAGACGGCTTTTGGTGTTTTGTGTATGTAACAAATGACAGGTGGTGACATTTTACATGTTAATGCCTTGTTTTGTACGTCTTTTTGTCAAAAGTATAAAATAAATTCCTGCATATGAAATTTTTTATGAATTAGATTCGGTGTTCAGCAGTGTTCTTTTGGTGGTTTGGGTATGTAACAAATGACAGGTGGTGACATTTTACTTGTTAATGCCTTGTTTTGTCTATTTGTCAAAAATATAAAAGAGATTCCTACATATGAAATTTTTTATGAATTAGATTCGGTGTTCAGCAGTGTTCTTTTGGTGGTTTGTGTATGTAACAAATGACAGGTGGTGACATTTTACATGTCAATGCCTTGTTTTGTCTATTTGTCAAAAATATAAAAGAGATTCCTACATATTAAATTTTTTATGAATATGAATTCGGTGTTCAGCAGACGGCTTTTGGTGTTTTGTGTATGTAACAAATGACAGGTGGTGACATTTTACATGTTAATGCCTTGTTTTGTACGTCTTTTTGTCAAAAGTATAAAATAAATTCCTACATATGAAATTTTTTATGAATTAGATTCGGTGTTCAGCAGTCAGCTTTTGGTGTTTTGTGTCTGTAACAAATGACAAGTAGTGACATTTTACATGTTAATGCCTTGTTTTGTGTATTTGTCAAAAGTATAAAAGAAATTCCTACATATGTAATTATTTAATATTTTCCTCTACAGTTTATGGCTAGCAGTATACAGGAAAGTGGTTCCAAGAGAAAAGTTAGTCAAAAACACTCCCAACGGCTTGATCAGTTAAACACTGTCATCTTTAGAAACATCACAGATTTATTGGCTACTGGGATCGGTGGTGAAGATATCCTGTCTCTACATGTACAAATCTCAAAGGTATGCTAGGATGTAAACAGAATCTAACATTTTGCGAGGTAAATTTAAAAACATGTGAGGCAACTTTTAAAATCCACATGAATGCCATTGGACTTCATTTTCATACAGTTCACTTGTAGAATTCCTGTATAAAAACATTTTGGTGAGGCAAATTTTGAGTCATTTGCCTCACCTTCCCTTTACCCTGACTATTGTCATTAGCATGTTAAAATAAATTATATTTCAAAGGGGTGTATAGGTGCCTCCAAATATATTGTTTCGTCATCTGTGTGCATCCTTGTTTTTTATGTCCCCACCACATAGTGTGGGGCCATATTGTCGGCCTAGGCGCGTCCGTCCGTCTGTCTGTCCGTCCGTCTGTCTGTCCGTCTGTCCGTACGTCCGGCAATTTTCTCCAAAACCGCTACAGATATCACCTTCAAATTTTCAGGGATAACTTATGAGTGCATACAAATGTGGATGAAAAAAAATTAACTCGATACCTACTTCCTGTCGGCCATTTTGAAGTCAAATGCTAAAATCCTTGTCTGCAAACTTTAAGAAAAACTGCTTCACAGTTGCTTTTAAAACTTTAACATCTTGTTCAGCTCACTTCATTCTAGATCTGATTAGGTTTTGGACCTGCTAGCTCAGTCATGTCAGCCATTTTGAATGTCTTAAGAAAAGTTAGCGCGCGATAATACTTTGTATCATATTGAATGGTGTTTTTGAGTTTTCATACTTTAACTATTTAGTAGCTTTATAAATAATTTCAGATGTACTTTGCTGTAAAAGCCTACTTTATTGTTAACAGTAGTTATATGTGATAATTTTGTAAAAAGAAATCAGCAAAAACTCATAAGGACTTTTTTATTGTCGGCCATTTTGGATTTTTCGGTCCTAAAATCTTGTCTGTGAAGTCTTGTCTGCGCGTTTTCAGGTGAACCGTTTGGTGGATCAATTTCAAATTTTCAGGGATGATTCTTAGTATAAAAATCTAGATCTCATTAGTTTTTTGGCATTCTGGGTAAATGTCAAGGCAGCCATTTTGGATTTTCCGTCCTAAAATCTTGTCTGTAAAGTCTTGTCTACTCGTTTTCAGGTGAACTGTCTCGTAAATCAATTTCCAATTTTCAGGAATGATTCTTAGTATGAAAATCTAGAACTGATTAGTTTTTTTGCATTCTGGGTAAATGTCAAGGCAGCCATTTTGGATTTTCCGTCTTAAAATCTTGCCTGTAAAGTCTTGTCTACGCGTTTTTAGGAGAACGGTTTGATAGATCCATTTCAAATTTTCAGGGATGATTCTTTGTATGAAAATCTACATCTGATTACTTTTTTTGCATTCTGCGTAAATGTTAAGGCAGCCATTTTGGATTTTCTGTCCTAAAATCTTGTCTGTAAAGTCTTGTCTACCCGTTTTCAGGTGAACCGTTTAGTAGATCAATTTCATATTTTCAGGGATGATTCTAAGTATGAAAATCTACAAACAGATTAGTTTTTTGACATTCTTGGTAAATGTCAAGGCAGCCATTTTGGATTTTCCATCCTGAAATCTTGTCTGTAAAGTCTTGTTTACATGTTTTCTGGTTAACTGTGTGACAGATCAATTTCAAATTTTCAGGGATGGTTCTTAGTATGAAAATCTAGAACTGACTAAATTTTTGGCATTCTGGGTAAATTTTAAGGTGGCCACTTTGGATTTTCAGTCCTCAAATTGTGTTGGTAAAGTCTTGTCTACTCATTTTCAGGATAACCATTTCACGCGATCACCACTTGGTGGGGACATTTTGTACACATTTGTGTTCTTGTGTAAAATTGGAATAAAGATTCCATTGTTTTGTCATTCTAAATTGATAGTTTTGAAAAACAAATGTCAATTGTTTATCTTATTCTTATGATATTGTTGAATTTCTGAGTTTCTTCTGAGCTTAATAAACTTTATATTAAACTATAAATGAATAAACTATATATTCAGTCACCAAGGGTAGATACCAGGGAAATAAATATATCTGCTATCTTATTTGAGGTCTAGGCTTTTAGGATCCCATTGCCGAGGTTAAACTTATTAATAAAATTTTACAAAGCTGTTTTATATACCTCACACACATCCGAGTATAGAATATAATCGATCAAATAACTTTCTTTTTATATTTATATAGGTAAAGATGGTGTCTGATATGAGCGGAGTCAACGTGTACTGGGTAGCTACGGGAGATCTGGAAAGGGATTCCCAGATCCAAACTCTATTGGATAACGCCGCATACAAGTTAAGGTGGGACCTATTTTTTCTTTTGATATTTGTTTCCGTATTGGTTATATAGTCTAGGATTTGTTTAAAAAAAACTTTCGTCATATCCACACATTATTGCAGCCGTTGTTCAAGGTTCTATTTTTAAAATTATAGAAAAGCTTCTAAATCTTAATTAAGGCATACAACTATTGTAGGTCCTAAAAACTGTGTTATTCTTTAGTTTTCTTTATTTAACATGTATTGGCATATATTATCATTCCATATTGGATATGGTTGGCGTATGTTTTTATACCATGTCTTAACGGAATTTAAAATGATTATGATCTATGACATTTTAACATATTTATTAGGGAATTATTTATTTTCATTATATTTTAAAAAGAATGTTTGTATTTGTGTTGGATTGTCATGCCAGCAAAGCATCTGAAAACTAAAGTAATATCTGTGCATTTGTAGTATACAACTGATGTTTGGAAATCTATATTTGACTCTTCTTTCTTCACTTGTGTTGACTAATTTATTTGGTTTGGAATTGTCCATGGTAATAAAATCACAAAGATGGACATGAACAAATTACATATCTTGATCGTCAAAATATTTATTTTTGTATCAAGATAGGCCAAATAACATAGAAACAAATTGATGATTAATAAGTAAAACATCAAAAATAGTAATATTATGGATCATCTTTATTTTCCTCAGTAGCAATTTTTTCATCACATGAACGGAAACCTCTCCAAAATGGCTCCATTTCAAATTTTGTGGAGGACAGAAATGATTCCGTCATATCAATGGCATCCTTTTCTCTCACGCATACATTTGTTTTGAGCAATTTCTTTTTGGCGTCAAAACATTCAGAATTGCAACTGAATCCGGTTACATCGCATATCATCTCTGTGATGTTTTTGATTTCAGCCATTTCATTCTTAATGAAATTATCTAGGTCACATCCATCAACAACTCCTAATGTGGCCACTCCATCAAGAGTATCAACCAATGTTCTAGCAGCACACACATCTTCTCCCTGCATCATTATGAATTTCATGTTGTGGTTGAACGGGTAGTAACGCACAAATGCATAACACATTTCTGCAGAAGTTGAATTGCCCCAAAACGTGGTTGAATTTCTCGACATGGAGTTGTAGTTACACGTTAAAAGTCCTTCGTCCCTTTCTCTCAACTCAATCGGTGTCTCAAAACTAAAGAAAATATGTGAAAATACTTGATGAACAGAAGGATCAAGAGGTGTCTCAAAACTTTAAAATGTCTGAAAATGTTCAATGCATAAAAGATGTGGCATATCGCTAGATTGTTTTGGTGTCTCGACACCCAATACTGAAAACTTAAAGAAAAAATAGAAAGTGTTACTGCTCAATTTTTAATATTTTTGAATTGATGGCACTTCCTTACATTATATGTATTTTAAATTATGACTTACTTGTGCATGACTGGAGAGTCATAATTATAAACTTTATCTTCCCCGAGTGAAGTGATCATTTTACCCCCTCTATACTGTTCCAGTTTTATCGACTTCCCTAAAAAACATTTTGTGAAGTGACCATGCAGGAAGTCAAAAAGGCTTGATTCATGACAAATTGTCACATTATTTATGGCTAACAACAAAAACATTTGTTACTGTACAGGTTGTGCCAAAAAACATGAGTTCGTTTAGATCATTGACCCCGCCTTTCCCTGTTCTTTCAAATGAAGACTCGGCAACTTACCAAGGTAATGCATATGAAGAACACTTCCGACCATCGTCAGTGGCCCAACTCCTTTTGTAATGGAGTAAGTACACGCCTTGGATATTTTACTCGTCACCTTGTACAGAGGAACTCTGGGAGGAATTGCCATCCTATTTTGTCCAATTATCATAATTCCCCCATCGTAAGGACGGAGATTTGGCGTGTAGTACATCATCATTCCACTACTATCATAATAATCGTCGCGTAGTTCAGGATTGTTCCAATGGTGCTGTGAAGAAATTATTTACTTAAGGATTTTTAAGGAAGAGGGCCTGAATATAAGTCCCCCTGGCTGGAAGTACTCCCTCCCACATTTTGTCATACCACCAGTGAGATATATTTTGATCTCTGCAATTATGGCTTTGTTTGATGCTATGCTATTTAATATGGCAAATTTAGATTTTTGACATTATGGTGGCTACAGTTTGGCAGAATTAGTCTTATAAACTTTGCTCGTAACTTCTGTATTATTTTTGTCTTGACCCAGTTAATACTTTTAAATAATAACTTGAAGACAAACTTCATATGTATGTCATTTGGAAAGAGCAAGGTTTTGTCTATTTAAGCAAACGTTTTAATAATAGATAAAGCTTGCATTTAAAGATTCCATGAATCACCTAGTATGTAAGAGCCATAAACATTTAGTACCTGTATTACTATCTTTGAAAAACCAGTTTTTCCAATGCGAAATCCCATATTTTCATTTTCACATTGTCCCTGAGAACCTTGGCCCCATAGGAAAATGGCTTGAGAACATCTTTTGTCTGCAGGACGCATTCCACAGGGAGCGGCTTCCCTATACATAGAACCCACGTCATCACCTTAAGAGCAAAAAGTTGGATAATAGTATATAAAAGTATGCACTGGAAACTAGAACAGTTCTTAACTTAATACTGAAAAGCAAAATAATATTAAGTAATAGTATTAAAATGTCAAAGTTAAGATTGAACATAGAACAAAGGGAGTTGATAAACTGAAAGTTTTGTTAAAGTGAATATAGATTTTTAAAACTTGGTATGCAGTTACTTTTATATTCAGTTGTTCAAAGTAGTGTGGCAGGTTTTAATAAATGATTTTTTGTTAATTTTATTCTAATACAGGCCTCCTAGACTTCCAACAATGCGAATATCAGTGCTGACATCACAAACTACATTCCTTGCCCTCGAACCACTACTCTCACATCGCGAACACAAAACCACTCACCACCATTTCCTTGTTTTCAAACATATTTCTCGACTTGGGCACAAAGATTCGTAACCGCAAACAATTTGTACATTATGGATGTTTATACATCAATTTTTTTGATTAGGTATGTGCGTGGTCTGCGGTTACGGATCACTGTGCGTGAGTGGAGAAATATGTTCGGGAACAAGGAAATGGTGGTGGGCGGTAAAAGCTAGTTCACACCAACGGCGCTTTAAAACGCTGTGCAAAGCCGCTTTAAAGTGCCATTTAAGCGCCGTTGGTGTGAACTTAGCTTTTAGATTTTGCGTTCGCCATGTGAGAATCATGCTTCGAGTGCAAGGAATGTAGTTCGCGAGGTCAGAACTGATGTTCGCGTTGTTAGAAGTCTAGGAGGCCTGTAATAAACAATACAAAAATCAAACCTCCCATGCATCCAAAAACAATGGAGTGGTGCATCACTGCTGAGTTGTTTATGATTGGCTTAGAGGCGATCATGTGATAATCTTGATCTGTGGGAATGTCAAACGTTTGGCAGAAATAATTGGTCTCTTTTGCTGGTACTTTAGTATTATTAAACTGCAATCTCAATGTGCGGACATCCTCTGAAAAATGGCATATTTGATTCATAATTTATCAGTTCATTTGGCATGAAACAAACAAATTTCAGAAGTTCAGAAAACTATTTACTATGTTTTTTCCTTTCAAGTGTTGGTTTTATCAGTTACTATGGTTTTTAATGTCTCTGCATCTGCATATAATGTGGTTTAGGTTTTTATGTCACCATCAAAAGTGGTGACATATTGTTATGTCACCATCAAAAGTGGTGACATATTGTTATGGTATCCAACTTTTTCCGGCTCGGCATCTGTAACAAATTCTTATAACTCCCAATAACTTTACAAATACTGTTTAGACTGGCTTCTTTTTTTCAAATTGACTTGAGATTTGAAATTTGACCCTCAATGACCTTCTCAAGTTCAAAAATGTCAAAAAGGTATTTTTTCAACTTTCTTCAAATTGACCATTTTTTCAAAATCTTCTACAAGTTCTCAGAAGTTCAAATCTGACTTTATTGAGATTTGACCTTCAATAACCTTCTCAAGGTCAAAAAGGTGACTTTCTTAACTTGCTTTAAATGGAAATTAACCAAACCTTTTTTCCAAATCATCTACAGGTTCTCAGAAGTTTGAATCTGACTCCATGTCTTTTGCTCCCAATTGACCAACTTTTTTTTTTAAATTATGTACACATTTTTAGAAATTCAAATCTGAGACCTTCTCAGCATTCTCAAAATTATATAATTGAAGTAGATTGAATCATTATTTTGATACTAAAAAACATACCTGTCGCATCTAGTGCTGGACATATGAATTTTGTCCCATTGCAGAAGTCCCATTGATTCTGGCCCATGCATTTTGGAGAATTCCATGGTTCACAAACTCCTTATATGAGAACAGTCAATCAAATAGTAAGGGAAATATAGCAACAGTTCACTTTTTTGGACCACCCTGTATATGTATTTCCTGAGGACAAATTGATCCATAATTTTGATTTAATTTTTCATTAAAGAGTGCATTTTATCAATAGCTTTGTTCAACTATGTAGTCAATTACTTTTGGAACTCCAACCTTCCAACCTTCGGATCATGTCTTTAAGTTCTTCACTGACAAAGGGTGGCTCCTTGCTTAGCACAGGAGCAATGATCTGACAAGTCTTCAGCTTTAAGACTTAGAAAGGACAAGGTGCAATTATTGGCAAATATCCCTATGGTCAAAATGGATCATTCGTAGGTGTAACATGAAGAATAAAATGTCATATAATACTTTGGAAAATATTAAAGTGCTCGGACACACATAAGCTGAGATAGGGATCATTTCGTTCAGTAAGGTTGTATTGACTTACATGGGGCTGTGCACCATTGACTTAACATGAGGATATCAGCAGATCCCAATAGAGGCCATTGGTTTCCATTGATTATCACAGAAATACCAAAAATACACTATGACCTGAATCGATTGCAAACTTAATAACTTCACAATACGACACAAATGGTTTATCTCATCAAATGTGCAAATATGAAGTTTGCAATCGATTCAGGTCATACTTTAAATTAAAAGATTGTACATTTTTTCATCATTTTTTTCCCTACAAGATGGCTATAGAAAAAAACAACTTTTACACTAATCAAATATCATACAAGTTTGTAAATCCAAAGATTATACTATTATATTTTATTATGTAGTAACATATTTGGATAAGATGCAGGGATGCGTAGGATGTAAATGGATTTTGACAGACACAAAAATACTTCCTGGTTTGGAATCTATGCCTCTACACTTCATGATTGAATTATGACCCTAATAAATGGCCTATACATCAATACAGTGCTGAATATAGGTCAACAAGATACTAGTGTGCATATAAATGTAATAATTGAAGCAGAATACTCATTTTGAAAAATCAGATGAATTATTTTTTTCCCATGGGGAGATCCCAATGGAGGGTGTATAAGGTCCTTTCGATATATCACACATTTGAAAATTGTTTTTTTTTTTACAAATGCTGATACATAATTTATATAGATTTAACTATAATTAGTTATACCCAGTAATGGCATTTTTAACACATTTTTGTTGAACTTTGGTAGATTAGCAACATACAATGTACTAATAGACAAAAAACATAAAAAAGTTTAGTGATTAACTTTTTAAAATAATTTAACTTTCCAGTGTACGAAATCCATACATATTTCATTAAAAGAGATTGTGCCTACCTGGAAGAGAAAGGCCAATAGTCCTATTAGCTTGTGACCCAGGGGTCCACACACAGCTGGGGTCTCCAAGTTCTTGGCCATTACTCATTCCATCATTGTCTGAGTCTTTCATACATAAAACATTGTCCCATTTCTTTGAAAACAAAACTGATATGAATACTATACTAGTATCTACAATTATTTTCAATGGTTTGAGTATTGATTTATATATTTATTTAAATGATTCTTCAACATATTGTAATGGTTTCTGTATGAATGAAATATCCCTTGATGTTATTGTTTTGCAGAGTCACATTGCCTGAGATTTTTTTATTAAGTTTAAGCCTGTAGTCAAATTCTTCTGAAGATGATATTTTGGAAATGCAGTGGCATCATCTGCATATGTTGTAATTTTGACAATAGTTTCATTATTATTTATAGTAATCCTTTTTATATTATTATTTTAGTGGTGACGTATTGTGATGCTCTCCAACATTTCTGTGGTTGGTTTTTGGCATTCAACAGTCAGTGTTTGTTGTCTGACATCTGTAACAAATGGCAGGTGGGGACATTTTGCATGTTAATGCCTTCAGCCTTGTCTAATTTAATTTGAGAAAATTTCTGTAGCTAAATTGAAAATCATACCACTTAATGGACAGCCTTGGCACAACCCTTAAATTAGTTCAAAACTCTGGGTGAAAAAACATTATTTGTTACAGTCAATGTAGTAATTCTAACTAGTTTTTTTTTAAATTGAATCTATTTGGTAAAACTTTCACAAAAATTACACTTTTTTGGTATTTCCATCATGAATGTTTAACATATTGAATCAAATGCCCTGGAATAGTCTAATGTGACAATCATTGCTGGCAAATTCTCTTTCTCAATACGAATTAATACATCATCAATAAGTCAAAGATTAAGATGAAATCCTTGCTCCTTCATAGCATTTTGATTTGAATTAACCCATTTCTTAATTACCCTTTGTACTCTCTGAGGTAAAACTCATTCCCCGGAATTGACAAATGACATGCGCATATTTAATTAGAACGCATTTGGGGTATGTTTCTTTAAGCTTGCTGAATGGTGGAAGAAAGGTCAACGCCTAGGTCAGAAGTGATTTATTACCCAAACTGTCACCGATACCCGTCGTGGGGGCGGGGCTACTAAACTGTAATATGGTCTCTACTAGGCAGAGTGTAGTTTAACTAGACTCTGCACGCAGGGTATTGTACTCTCTGAGGTAAAACTCATTCCCCATGTTAGTGAAATTGGGCAAAAACTTTCAAACTTTTCAATTTATTTCTTGGGAGTTCTTGAACCTTTGAAATCAGTGTAATGATATGTTGACCTAAAAACTTTATAAATGGCAGGTGTAAGTCGAACTATCCATATTTTACGAAGTTTACTTTACTTGAAAAAGTAGTAGAGAGATTTTGTAAAAATTGCAGCCATATCTGTTTAGTGGGGTTTGCTATGTATTGATGATGTTGTTATCTAGTATTTTATACCCGTATAATCACACAGGTTCAATATAAACTCTGGGATTCTTTTTCATGAATTTTTAAACATGCATATTTACTCAAAGGTCATATTGCAACCTGCTGCTCTCATAGTTGCCTTGTTATTTTCATAATTCCAGCAGTTAAATTAAAATAAAGCATCTGCTGTTTTGTTTGCTCTCAAGCTCGTCATGAAATTTAATATTAAGGGTTGCATTAGAAATATTGCTAATAATTTAAAAATGGATTAGGAAACCATTATTTGATCAAGAAATTAATTCTCAGCCTTTTCGAAATTTTGAAGAATTTTCGTGTTTTGTAGCATAAAATTGCACATTGAATGTTCAGATTTGGATTATATTTCTTTGATATATTAGAATTTATTTGATTAATTGCCGTCAATTTGCTACAGACAATCAAGTTATGGGTGATTCCTACTACTAGTTTAAGTGAAGAAACTTTTTGTATGGTTTCTACACTACAGTTTTTTATTTTATTCTGCAAATGTCATTTATTGATAATTGTCTCAAAACATCTGACTCTAACTATTTCTAGTTTACTCTATGCATATTTTTGTTTTTTATATTTGTTTACAAAAGGGTTCTGTTCTGTAAGATTTTGAATACAGGGTTCATTTCCCGAGGGAAATATTCGTAACTCCTGATGACAAATTGATCCATTATAAATTGGATCCATGAAGTCAGTTCAGGCCGGTAGCCAGGGGTTCAGGGGTTCGGCAAAATTTCTTTCAAAATCATGCAGTTTTTCACCATTCTGACAATTTGTTTTAGGCCAAATTTGCCAAAGTGAACCCCCCCTAGAATTTTTTGGTAACCCCCCCCCCCCCCTTGGAAAATTCTGGCTATGGGCCTGCAGTTATTCACATTTTAAAAATGAATCAATGTTTCAAGCTACAATAAGGCCTATATAGTTATATGTGCGAAAATATTTTTTTCAGCCAACACCATTTCTTACAGATTTTTTCCAAATATATATTTGTTTTCAGTACAACTATATGTACTAAAAACCCTTCCAAACAAAATGTTTATATATCTGTTTCATTACCCAAGTTGGTCATCTACACTGTTTGCTTTGGTTTTCTAAATAATTTATTTTCCAAATAATAATGATTGAATTTCCAAATACATTTGATTCAAATACAACTAACTTTATGCTTGATATTATTGTACATTTCATTAAATAATTTTACAACACAATTTACCATTTAAACAAATATTTGGTTATTGAAGAAGTCGGCCTAAAGGCAGAATCAGATTTATAGGGGTTGTAAAATTACAAGCAAAATGTACAATTGACCTACCAATCTATTCCTTACAATCTCAAATGTATTATCTCCTAAAATATTTACGATGTGTCATAAATTGGTGAAGTTATTATATATGGATTCAAAGGGCAAAAATGGCTGAAAATGTTTAAATTCTCCCAAATAATAAGAATGGTAACAAATTCTTATAGAAAAATAATACATTATTGTAAAAATCTTTAGTTTTCCTGAAATTAAGTGTGCACTTTGTGGATTTTTGAAAATAGACATGACAATAAATGACATGAGCGAGAAATATTCTAAAATTTAAACAATTTTTTGTTGGCCTGCTCGCTAGATCTGATTCTCTCTTCATATAATACTAACCTTGTCATTTGCTTTGAAATCCTCTCCAAATGGATTTCTGTTCCCTCCGCCCTCAGAATTCCTGTGCCCTACCCCCTTCCATATGTGATTCTCCTTGCAGGGGTGAGGCACCTTGTCACCATTGGGGATCTGTCCCTGAAAGAACTGGTACCCATCAGCAGGTCTTAAGACACAGAGAGTTAGAAATATTAAAATCATTAGCTGATCCATTTTCCTTTCTAAAGAGACAGCAGTCAGTGCCTGTTGCTTTTAAAGATAATGCTTATTTCAGTATGACTTCCTTATATTCTGTTATGTTACAAGAAGCCAATAGCCTTTTATGCTAATTTGTATTGATCATTCTAAAGAATTGAAATTGTTCAATTGCTTCGTAAACCCCCTGACCTGTAATTTTACTTCATATCTGTACAAGGAGGATTGGCTCCCAGAGTGCAACATCGATATTCTGTCCCATATATGGGCATGTCGTGATACAAAATTTGAATTCAAACAGCCACCATTTTGTTCACTTCAGCATTTGAATCGTGAATTTTGGTCTTGTTTCCGAACGAAAAATTCCAAAACTCAGGAGAAATGATCGAGATATTGGTTCGAATCTTTTGGACTGTTTATTTTGAATTTATAGTTGGTTATAATTTCAGAAAATAACGACATTTCGACGATTTCATTGTTGGAAAATATCGAGTTTCGATCCTGGGAGCCAATCCTCCTTGATATCTGTAGATCAATTTTATTGATATTTTATATATGAAAGTACTTTGAAGCTTGGGACATTATTTGACGAATGTATGACAAATTCGCAAAAGTTAATAGCCACAAAATCTCAAAAAACTGAAAATTAGCGAAATATAAGTAATATATACTGGCATCTGGGTAATTAGTGGAAAATTACTTATAAAGTATTCACATTGAGTGATGTTCAGGCAATACAGGTGTTCCTATATTTATGCCATATAACTACATTCATCCATTTGATTTTGATTGTTAATGTCACGACTTAGTAAAATTACAGAGATCATTTTTAAACAATTTTTGTGAAAATTGGATGAAAATTGTTCAAATAAGAGAAATTTTAGTGACAAATTTTGTGATGGATTTTCTCATCACTCTGTGTTTCAAGGTCACTTATAAATCTGAGGTGACGAGAAATTTTGTCACTCCAGGTAGTCAAGAGGTTTAAGGTGCAACAATTAGTGCAGGGGGAGGGCATTCAACAATCATTATTTCAGCTATAACATCATTTCAGCTGATATTCCTCTTGAAATGTGGTGAATCTTAAAAATCCATAAGTGGGACTCCCTTGATAGAAGCCTTGAACTGAATTTACACTTCTAAATGCTGAAATTTTACTTCCTGCGAAAGCTATTTGGATTTTGATATAATAGCTTTCCCACGGAGCATTTGGACAGCTCAATGATCGTGACCTTTGAAATCGAATTAAGTCGATCCGCGGCTTACTTTTGGTCTCTAACTGTGTCTTACATCAGTATCATCAATCCGTGTAAGTATTGGAGCGCTGGAGTACTTCTTTTTCGATCAAGACTTGTAATTGTTAGTCGAGTGAATCGTTTTACAGCCAAATTCCAATATGGCGGTTTCTGCTCGGACTTTTTCGTAAATCTCCGGAGGTTGTCCGAACCTAACTAATTCTCAAAATTCATTTCGTTCGTTGCGTATCTCGCACCTAGCAAACCGCCATATTGGAAATAGGTCTGTAAAGCTTTAACTCGATGAACAATTTACAAGTCTTGATCGAAAAAGAAGTACTCCAGCGCTCCAATACTTACACGGATTGATGATACTGATGTGAGACACAGTTAGAGACCAAAAGTAAGCCGCAGATCGACTTAATTCAATTTCAAAGGTCACTATTGATCAGCTGTTCGCTTCTCCGTTTGAGAGCCATAAGTTTCAAAATCTAACATGGCTCTCGAAGTGAGTAACTGAAATTGAGACTTTATCAATACATTTTTAAGAAAATAGGTATATCAAAGAAGATGTTAAGCTAAATATTGACCTGATGGCTCAGAAAAAATAAAAAAAATTGAATTTGTATCTACAGTCCTTTTGTATGTCAACTGATTGCAGGGATCATCTCCAAAGTAACAGGGAATACCACCCAGTTAAAATCTGAAAATTGCATGCCCCCTTGTTGAAAATTTCTTTGCACCCTCTGTTTCTGCAAGCCTACCATTTATTTTGGGATATATCGAATACACAGTGTATTTATATTTTCAGGTCAGCACTTATACAGCAAGGAACACTGGGGTCTCTTCCGAACCTGACCTTTTTGAAAGATCTCACGCAATCACGATTTCTCCAAATTGAGGATATGCTTCAGAAAGCTGACACTGGTTATGATATTAATTCCACCGATTCTTTAAATGACGTGAAGGTGTATAAACCAATCACAGATAAGGCATCACTGCAAGATTATATTAATAATATCAAGGTGCCTTTGAAGGAGCTTGTTGAGGAGGAATTAAACGAAGCACAAATTAGCGACAGAAAGGACAAAGGTAGCTACTGGATATCTGATGAACTACAACATGTTGATTTTGATGAAAAATCGGTCAAACCAACCAATGGTGGTGAAAAAGTTAGCGAGTCTCTCGGTAAATCTGAGGATGATGACTCTGAGGTTTTAGATTTAAACCATGCTGATATTATGTCGCAAATCATGACATCAAAATTAAAGTCCAAGGATCGTTCATTTTCCCAAGTAACTGATATACCAGAAAAATATTATGACATGAACAAAAGTGGAGAATTTAACAGATTTGTAGAAGATCGTAAAAAACAAAAAGTTAAATATGAAAGCACAGATAAACATCTTCATCGTGAAATGAGGGAATCAAGGAGACAGTATGAAGATGGAGGTGAAGATGCTGAAATTGAAAATGAAATAGATATGGATTTTATTGATGAATCCACTCATAGGCCTAAATAATGAAGTTTTCTGTTAAGATCATAAGTAAAATGGCAGTATTGAAACCATGAGTGAAACAGGCCCATAGCCAGGGAGTTCAATGGGTTCAGGCAAACCCCCCCCTGTCCAAAACTTCTTTTAAAATCATGCAGTTTTTCACCATGCTGAGCAAGTGATTTTGGCCATTTTTTGACCAAAATTGTAAAAAGTGAACCCCCATGGCAAATCCTGGCTACAGGCCTGGTGAAATGATTTGTATTGGAATCGTAAGCAAAATAAGTTAAATAACATTTATTGAAATCATAAGTAAAATGCCATGTATGTATGGAAATCATAAGTAAATGAACTGTATTGAAATCATAAGAAAAATTATTTTTAATGAAATCATGAGTAATTTGTCATGTATTTGAAATTAATGTAAAATGATATGTTTTAAAGTCATATGTAAAATGATTTGTATTGAAATCATAAGTAAAATTACATATTTTGCAATCATAAGTAACATTATTTGTATTGATATCATAAGTAATTTGTCATGTATTTGATCATAAGTAAAATGCCATTTTTTGAAAGATACATCATGATTATGTCAAAAATGCACTCTTCTCCCATGTCCCAAATATGCTAAATCAGTGCTTATTTAATGCACTCTAGGAACATTTTCTATAAATTCATAAAAATTATGTCAGCAAGTATAATCTAGATAATGTAATATATTAATTTTTTATTTATTTATTTATTTATATGATATAGACAGTACAATATAGTGCTACGGCTAGGCTTAAAAGCATTATTAGTTTAAATAGTAACAGAATCAACAAACAAATGAGATGAAGATAAACTGTTCAGGTCATCCTCACCACACAAATGACATTTGAATTTTCCCTGTAAATATGCATTTTCCAATCATCGTTTTCTTGATGCAACAGTTTATCTTCATCTTATTTGTTTATCGAATGTTACTCTTAATATATTTCATTATCTAGATTATACTTACTGACATAATTTTTATGAATTTATAAAAAATGTCAGCAAGGTGTGAGAAACTTGGGTTTTCAATGTTCTTATGGACTCAATTTATCCTAAAACTTGCTTGTCTAAAAAATATTTGAACCATTCATTTCGATTTTTGGCACTCCTGGATCACCAAATCAAGCTCATTATATCATAGCATCAGGGCTGAGAAGAAATGAGATGTCATGGTTTATCATGATGCAACAAATAGTGCAGAGGGACCATTCACATCATGGACTCAGTGTCAAAATATATTGAAGTTTGGATATTTCATGAAGACTAACATATATTTTTATTATCTACAAAGAAACCCCCTGGATGAACATTATTTCAGCTTGAAACGTTGTGGATCTTAAAAATCTATAAGTGGAACTCCCTTTATAGAGGATTTGAAATGAATTTACACTTCCTTGTGCACAAATTGATAGTTTTTCCATACATTTAAGAAAATAGGTATGTCAAAGAAGATTTTAAGCCAAATATGTTGCCCTGCTTGCTCAGAAAAAGTAAAGATTTACTAATTTTCTCTCTACAGGCCTTGTTGCCCCTTTAATGTATTTCATAGAATTAGAAAGTTAATTTAAAATGAGACTTTAAAAACAGACATGCACCCACTTGAAAATGAGAAAATCATGAAAAATGGCCAACTTTGACAAAATCATTGAGATAATATACAAAGACAATGGTATATGGTAAATTATTTCAAATTCAGATTCCGTTGTCATTGCCGATATCGAAGACGCTATATTTTGGCGATTCATGACCCAATTTGGTCGAAATTGTGATATCATATAAGACATCGTCACAAGAGCTTTTTTACATGCACAGAATTAGCGGCGATAACGTCCCATGAAACGAGGACCAAGTGATTGAAGAGTCGAAGCGACAGATATATCCGCCATTTGTGACACCGGTATCTGACTTTACCGTTGTCCGGCTATTCCGGTGTGATGATGCAAGAAGAGAGGGCCGTCGTATTCCATGATTAATTCTATATAATACATGTAATTCAAAGCCCTGGATATTGTCTAACATAGCAGTAAAAACAGGTGAATCTGTGAAATAACTTCTTTAAAATCAAATGTATAGCCATTTGATTGTCACCAGTGTTCTCAAATTGCAAACAATGTTAGTCAAATCATGGGCGTAGCGCCTGTTACGCCCAATACGCCCGTGCGAACCAAACGAATTTTAAAAAAGATAAAAATGTGTTAAGATGCATTGATTTGTTTGCACATTTATTGATGATTCTGCGTTTTGTTTATTTTTACCATCAAGCTTTATCAGAATAGAACTTTTCAAGTTGATAAAAAAGCTCAGATTGCATAAAATAACGTCTTCTAAAAAAAGATTTTTCAGGGAAACAGACCCCCAGACCCCCCCCGCAGATGCACGGCCTTCGAGTGGCCGTACCAACTCAAAATATGGCCATACGTCCATGATAAGCCGTGTGGACTCAGCATTCCTATTATATGTGTCTAATTTTTGTGTGACGGGATATCTAGCTGGAAAACTAGTATAGGGACAAAACGGTGGCAAACGGAGAGCCAACACGGTGTGAAAGAAATCATGGTCCCCCGGGGATTATGGTCCCCCCTTTTAAAGGCTTTACTGGCCCTGATTGTGTATAGATTTATGAACTTTATTACACATGCATACCCATAAAGGATTAAGTGTACACAAAGTAAACACTAATTTTACAATATATCAATACAACAGATAACAGTATATATAACAACACACACAATTAATACTTCATTATAAATAAATAAGTAAATAAATGAACAAATAAATATGTATCATGGATAAGCACATGAATGGTGATACGCGTCCATTGCTTATGTCATATATCACACCCTTCTATTTTATATTACATTTATGAATAAATTATGCTACAATCACGCCTTACCATCGCGTAAGCAGGCGTCCCCATACAGCGTCAAAAAATAGCGGAGTACAGTTTTCTGTACGGTAACGCAAATTAACTGCTTTGAAGCAAAAACTATGACAAGGGTTTAAAAAAATTAATTTGATGAAAACTAATACGATTTCATGTGAAATAAAAACAGCATTCTCTTAGAAATGGTTTTAACTTTCTGATTATGATAAACGTTTTACGAGCGCTGTTCGGATTTTTTCTGAGTGAATCGGCCCACATAATCGACCAGAGTGAAAAAAGGTTGTTTTTTCACATTTTGTTTGGTTATTATTTTCCCTACCGTCTGAGAGTATGGATTATTTTTATGAGAATATGTATTTGTTACTTACACATTTTAGAACGGGCGAAGATTCAGCAAACAACCATTCATTATGTACATTTAAAAAAGATCAAATTTGTACGGTGACGCACCAGCTGTACGGTGACGCTATGCTTTGATGAACTAAATGAGACTAAGATTGTATGAAATGGAAACTCTGGAGTATGATCATTTGTTCATATATAGTGCATGGGCGCTACAGTTCAACGATATCTTCCACAGCTTAATGGAAGGTTACTGGAAATGTATGATACGGTAAAGATCATGAAACCAAAAACTCTCTTGTTGCTATGTTATTGATGTTTTAAAACAAGGGATGTCACAAGTAAATCTCATCTTGCACGTGTGACTTTTTAGGATGAAAGATGCAATATCTTGCATGGAGTAAAGATGGCTGTGTAGGCTATCTTTGTTAGTCATATGAGAAAAGCCTGGTTTAGTTCAAATGATACCAAAGCATTACATCAACTTTCAAACATGTCAAATAGTTAATTCCATGAAAACTAAAAATATCGAAATTAATACTTCCTGTCCGCCATCTTAAATGCGAAGTTGACGGCTGTAACCTTCGCTTGATACCAGTGATAATGTACATGTAGATCTGACGCTTCTTTACCTCTTGTTCGAACAGTAAGCTTAGAGCACTTCATAAAATCTAAGGAAGCGTCACCGTACTGCTGATGCGTCACCGTACAGTTCTGATCTTTTTTAAATAAATACACTGAATGATTATTTGCCGAATATTCATCTGTTCTAAAATGTGTAGATAACAAATACATACTCTCATAAAAATAATCCATACTCTCAGACGACAGGGAAAATAATAACCAAACGAAAAGTGAAAAAAACACAATTTTTCTCTCGAGTCGATTATGTGGGCCGATCCAGTCAGAAAAAATCAGAGCAGTGCTCGAAAAACTTTTATCATAATTAGAAAGTTAAAACCATTCCTAAGAGAATGCTGTTTTTATTACGCCCGAAATCGTATTTATTTTCATCTAATTAATCTTTTTAAAACCCTCATTATAGTTTTTGCTTCACTCAGTTAATTTTCGCCACCGTACAGAAAACTGTACTACTGTATTTTTTGACGCTGTACGGTGACGCCTGCTTACGCGATGGATAGGCGTGACAATTTCAATTTCTTTATTTTCACAAGACATACAAAATTGGAAAAAGGGAATCGTCCTCCATGTTGAAAAGGTGTTAAATTGGATTGCTGCGTGATTCAAGTTTATCGAGCATTTGCTTTCTATATATACTTTAGTTATCCCATCGAGCGAAGTTCGGAGGGATATAGGGAACGCCTTCGTCCGTCCGTCCGTCCGTCCATCCGGGCAATAACTCAAATACCGTTGGCCCGATTTTGTTCATATTTTGTACACATATACCCTATGGGGGTAGAAGTTCTGCTCGAAAGCCGATTTTCAAAATGGCCGCTCATTTAAAAATGGCGCCCATTTTAGTGCCGATTTTACAGTAATTTAGGTGCAATATGTAAAACTGTAATAGCAATATGTTTTAAATGTAAAAAAATTATGTAGGACATTAATAAAGCTAGAAATGTTGATATTAAAGAAGCACAGGGCAGCCATCTTGAAAACTGGCGGCCTTTACTCGTTATTTTACGATTTTTGCTTTAACTCGAAAAGTAGTAGAGCGATTTTGTTCATATTTGGTGTGTAAATACTATTAGCAAGGCACACTGTCTAATGACACTTTTGGTAGAAGGTGGCCATTTTAAAAAATGGCGGACATTTTGAAAAATGGCCTCCATTTTAACTTATTTTACTATAACTCGAAAAGTAGTAGAGCGATTTTGTTCATATTTGGTATGTGAATACTAATAGCATGGTACACTGTCTAATGAAACTTGGTAGAAGGCGGCCACTTTGCTATATACTTTGTTTGTAAAAATGCCAGCCATGGCTGTTCGATGGGATTCGCTACGCTTTGGCGTTGCCGTTGTTCTGGTTTTTACATGAAAGCATTATATGTTTTTCGTTTTCTATTAAAGTGCAAACCTCGCAAATTCTTTCATCGATCTTTAATTTTGGGTGTTCGTATCTACCCGTTTCTATTTTTAATTTGTGGTTACTGATATGAAACTTTGTGAGACTTCGTCGTAAATGCCCATTTGAAATTGATTCTAAATGTGGTTCGAACCTTAAATAAGATAATAAGGGAAATAGGTCACCATATAAATCAATGGAAAGTAGGACCATAAATTAATAGGACCTCCTAACCTTTTACAACGGTCTAAAGGGGTGACAGCTCCATAACATCTTGACGAAAGGTCACGAATCACAGTCAATGATTAAGTTTGAATGGTAAGTGAATCATACGAGAATAAACAAAATCATTTAAAAGCAAACAAAGATTAAATAGCCCTACTAGTGAGCTACTTATGTGCATGGTCAGTAGGGGACAAATCCAATAATGTATCAGTATACGGTTTTAATATTTGTTGTTTTATGCTTCTTAAGACTTGGCGATGGGTTCCAGTTCTATCAGGGACAGATCCCCAATGGTGACAAGGTGCCTCACCCCTGCAAGGAGAATTATATATGGAATGGAGTAGGGCACAGGAATTCTGAGGGTGGAGGGAACAGAAATCCATTTGGAGAGGATTTTGAAGCGAATGACAAGGTAAGAATTGTTTAAGCTATGTCTTTTAATATTAATTTGTTTAAAATGGTAAATGAAATAAAGTAGATTGTATGAAAAGATATTTATAGTTGGAACGTTTATGTTTCATTATTATGAAAAAAGTGCAAGCAATAATATTGTGTGTGTAAAAGTGTGTTTTGATAGGACCTAAGTTTGGATGTAATATTACTACATGTACTTGCATACGAGGAGAGACCATGAAGTTTTCATAATATGTAACTGATGACATTTATTTTCCTCAAAGAAATGGGACAATGTTTTATGCACGAAAGATTCGGACAACGATGGTATGACAAATGGTCAAGAATTGGGGGACCCCAGCTGTGTGTGGACCCCTGGGTCACAAGCTAATAGGACAACTGGACTCACTCACCCAGGTAGGTCGAACTTTAAGGAAGAATGTCTCTAATGAACATATATTCTCTCTAATAAGCATAAATTGTCTGCAATATAGATATATTGTCTCAACATGACGACTTTCTATTGAGCAAATATCTAAAATGAGTAAACTCCTTTCCCAGTGGCGGATCCAGGTGGAGGGGGCATTTTGGACCCATAAATTTTGTAGGGCCTCAAAGAATGGGCCTTTTAGGCCTTTTACAGGCCTAATTTTCTAAAATGGGCTTTAAATTTTCAAAATTTAGGGGCCTAAGATTTTTACCGATTCAAAATTTGCCCCGCCCCCCCCCCCCATGTTAGCTTCTGGATCCGCCACTGTGCCCATTAAAAGATTTGGAGAAACACCCTCTACATAAAAAACATATTTTTCTAATGACCTTGCCTATTCATTAACACCCAGGTGTAACAACAATCAACAACCACCTTTCTTGAATAACCCTTCTCTCCGAAACATACGTACATAAATCATTCATGTAGAATGCACTTGATAGTACGTGTAAGTAAGCAATATAACATGTATAACGTGATGATGAATCACCTCGAGGTTAATCACTTTTAAAAATCCAAAATATGTCAAATTAAGCAAATCTAAGTTGTGTAAAAAGTCAAGAAATTCAATAATTCAAATTTTAGAGAGAAATTGAGTGAAATATATATGATCAGACGACAATCCATAGACAAATAAATATTGTAAGAATGGTGGCTATCAGCTTATGTTTGCCCATATATTATTTCAATGAAAATTCAAAGATAGGAAGCTATATTGTAGTACATGACAGGCTGGGTTAAAAAGTGTCACCCTTATTATATAGGGTAACATTTTCGAGACACCCTGTAGAATGCATGGGCTTGCTTATGTTGTGGGGTTGTTCAATGAGAGTTTTTTTGTAGATGATCGTGTAATCTTGGAAGTCGGGTATGCCAGGGAGCAGAATAAACCCAAGAAAAGCTGTATTCAGTTTCAAATCAAATATTCAACTCTCTGATAATTTCAAGTGCACGGGTTTATATACCTCCTGATAAGAGCGGACTTACAATAGGGCACTAAAACACTTGACTCGGTCTATGGACCACTTAACAGGCCCGTAGCCAGGGGGGGGGGGGTTCGATGGGTTCGTGCGAACTCCCCCCCCCCCCCGGCCAAAATATCTTTCAAAATCATGCAGTTTTTGCCATTCTAAGCACTTTTTAAGTGATTCTGGCCATTTTTGGACCAAAATTGTCACAAGTGAACCCCCCTGGAATTTTTCAAAAAGCCCCCCCCCCCTTCCTTGGAAAATCCTGGCTACGGGCCTGACTTCCTATTAGAAGATAGTAATGAATTAACATCTGGGGGTCAGAAGAAATAAGATAAAAAAGTGTTAAAATACATGTCTCGGGATCAATGTCATAACACTTATTACAAGACACTGGCTGTTTTCAGGCGTTTGCGAGCCATGGAATTCTCCACAGTGCATGGGGCAGAATCAATGGGAGTTCTGCGATGGGACAGAATTTGAATGCCTAGCACTAAATGCGACAGGTATGTTTAGTTTTCCATTTCCATGAATCCAAATAATATTACAATAATAAACTGCAATGATATAGCGTTTTTTGGATTGCTGTATAAACCTACAGACACATTTATATTAGTCAATCATTATGTAAGAATGTGTGTCATAAATGTGTGTCATAAATGATAAGAGCCAGTAATATTATGGCAATGCCTGAACCGGGGGCTGAACACTTATCCGGAAAAGCCTTAAAAACTGCATTTTTATTGGAATAGCACATTCCCGGTCCGTCAGTTAAAAACCACATATTAACTCATAAAATCAACATTCGAAAACAGATATTAGATTTCTGAAGTTTATTTCATTTTTGCATCAAATATGCATGCCATTTTAGAGGATGTTCGCACTTTGACGTTGCAGTATAATAATACTAAAGTACCAGCACAAGAGACCAATTACTTCTGCCAAACGTTTGACATTCCCACAGATCAAGATTATCACATGATCGCCTCTAAGCCAATCATAAACAACACAGCGGTGATGCACCACACCATTGTTTTTGGGTGCATCGGAGGTTAGTTTGTTCCTTTTTCACAATGTGAAACACTATTTTCTAAGCACTACTAAGAAAGAATACTTAATGTCTTATCCATAAGTAATAAGCACTACTAACTACTAATTCTCAGGAATAAAAAGTTCACACTTATCATACCTATTGAGAGATAAATATTGCTTATCCTCGGCCCAGGTACGTCTTATCCGTGTTTCATGTGACTACTGCGGTAATTAACTAAGTAAAGCATTTCGATTTAAGTGTAGTATGTTTGCATGCAGCAAGCATTTAATCATTTTTGATTTTTGATTAAAAATACTCCTAGTAACTCCTTTGGATCAAATATTTAAATTCTACTAGAGTGCGGGGAGTGGAAACAAGTCTCCATTCAAGCACTGAATATCAAAAGAAAGATTTCAGGACCCCTTAACTTCACTCCCGGACTTTTCTATTCAACACCACCCATCCCCCTTCCCCAATTATCCCTAATGATCCCAGAATGTTCGTTTCTGTGCCCCCTGTCCATGGCCAGTAATTAATCTATGTGTATATTGTCTCCCTCCAAAAGGTAGGAAAAACCAGATGAAGACATAAACATTGACAAGGTGAGGGGATTTAAATATAAAATAGTATTGTTTTTGGCTCTGACTTAAATATCTTGACACTGTTTAACGAAGCCGGTTTAAGGAATGAGAGGCAGAAATAATTCCTAGATGATCTTTCTTTACTGTAATTAAGATGCTACTTAACCGCAATTTTAAAAGGGATTAAGTTATTTACCTTGTGATAATTTAATACTACTTATTGATTGGTTTGCCAAATATAATACCCCGTATAAGACCCTTGTCTCTGATTGTAAAACATCTGTATGCACCAAATCCGAGAAATATTACATTCTGTGAAACAATTCCAAAAAGTTTTGTCTTGAACTCAATCAAATAGCAATATATTTCAACATGTAGAAATTATTTATTAACATAATGTCGGGCACTATAGGTTAAAGGGTTTTCAGTTTTGCTCTTTTTGTGTCACGCTTGAATTGTGTGCTTTATTTATTTGGGATTTGAATTTGGAAAGGTGAATTCACGATCAATAAAGTACTACATACAGTACATCGAGGCAAAGCCACCTTTCAAACACATCATCTATTATGCATGTCCATTTGTAGCAATCACACGGCCCATACCACTAGGGGTATGTAGATTTTAATGAATGGGAATTCTTCATCTTTTTATTTTTATGTTTTCATTAAACAGCCAGAAAAAAACTATTTTTCATTTCCCAAGGAATTTAAAATGTATCTAATATATTATACAATCAGACAGACTGGCTATTCTAATCCGTTATGAAAGGCCATTTGTTTTTTTTCCACTACAGGATGTTTCTTCAGAAGTTAATTAATTGTTTATCTTAGTGTTTAGATGCATTGTCCCTTGACGCTTTCATGAAATAAATGAACTTTGTGATGGACTACAATTGTATATTTTTACAGGAACAGTTATTTTTATCACCAAAGTAGAGCACTTGTTACATTATTTTCATTTTAGGTCTCTCTTATTAGTTGCATTGCAGAAGTCTAATATTATTCTCTCCGTGTGCCGAATGTACTTATACCCGTAGCCAAGGGGTGGGGGTGGTTCAAGGAGTGCGAGAATTGGAATTGAATACAAAATAAATACGTAACATATAAATATATAAGTACATAATGTCTAGCCAAGTCTTCTTGCATTTTCTGAACTTCAAATGCGCCTTTTGATGTGTGGTAACAAAATACTAAATAAATATTTATATTACTCCAGCTTGTTTTCATATTAATTTGGCAATAAAACATGTATAAAGAGATAGCAAATTGTGCACAACCCCAATCCCTTCCCCGATCGGGTCGCGTTTACTATGTATGTTATAATGTATAAAAGTAATTATCCCAACGAACGAAGTTCGGTAGGGATATAGTGAAGCCCTCCGTCCGTCCGTCAGTCCGTCAGTCCGTCCGTCCGTCCGTCCGGAAGATAACTCAAATATTAGTTGACGGATTTTCTTCATATTTGGTGGAAAGATGTATATTGATGAATTGTTTTACGCAAAAAAAGATTTTTTCAAGATGGCCGCCGCTTTAAAAATGACGGGACTTTTTCGCAAAAATCATAAATTTTTCATTCTAAACCAAAGTAATTAATATTATTGTTTGAAATTTTGGTAGTATATTCGCAACATCTATTTATTTCACATATATTCCGTGTTTTTCATCCTGACCCCCAGGGGCCGTGTATGGGGGGTCAGGAAAACAGAAATTTTCGCTAAATTTTAGATCTTTCTAAGGTATAGCTTTATTATACACAAATGAAAGGCAATTAAGAGTAGATTGCAAATATTGTATCGTTTTTCTGATTCGAGCCTTGTAAAATTCAAAATGGCCGTCTATTGTACGATTTCACAATAATTTTTCGATCCCTTCAACGTATGGCTATATAATACTCAAATTGAAGGAATTTTGGAGTTGATAACAATTATGGTATTTTCAGATTTGTACCTCAGAAAATTCAAAATGGATTTTTTCAAGATGGCCGCCGCTTTAAAAATGACGGGACTTTTTCGCAAAAATCATAAATTTTTCATTCTAAACCAAAGTAATTAATATTATTGTTTGAAATTTTGGTAGTATATGCGCAACATCTATCTATTCCACATATATTCTGTGTTTTTCATCCTGACCCCCAGGGGCCGTGTATGGGGGGTCAGGAAAACAGAAATTTTCGCTAATTTTTAGATCTTTCTGAAGTATAGCTTTATTATACTCAAATGAAAGGCAATTAAGAGTAGATTGCAAATATTGTATATTTTTTCTGATTCGAGCCTCGTAAAATTCAAAATGGCCGTCTAATGTACGATTTCGCAACAATTTTTCCATCCCTTCAACGTATGGCTATATAATACTCAAATTGAAGGAATTTTGGAGATCACAATTATGGTATTATTTTTCAGATTTGTACCTCAGAAAATTCAAAAAGGCTGCTTTGCAGGAATTCGCAATTCTAAAATCTAAATTTTTCAATTTTAACCAAAGTAATGAGTATAATTGATTGAAATTCGGTAATTGATATTTTGTTCGTTGGGATTTGCTACTCCGCGGAGTTGCCATTATCTAGTTTGTAATAAAGACAATAATGCCCCCCCCCCTATTGCAACCATCTTCGTTCACTCGGCTCCCGTCGATGAACACAGTTAAGACCGAGCGTGCGATGTATTGCAACATTTTGTCAATTAATGGCATTGGCCCGGGGTATCAACACACATTTAATTGAAATAATTCAAACCAAAGTTCCAAATGAATAAAGAACGTGAAGGTTCTGTTTGACATTCGAACAAAAATTTATCCAGTCAAAAATAGATTTCTAATATTTGATCTTGATTAGATGTATCAGGCCCATAGCCAGGATTTGCCAAGGGGGGGGGGTTCAGTTTTCAAAAATTTCCAGGGGGGGTTCACATTTGACAATTTTGGCCCAAATATGGCTAAATTCACAAGAGAAGTGCTCAAAATGGTGAAAAACTGCATGATTTTGAAAGAATTTTTGGCCAGGGGGGGGTTCGCCCAAACCCTGCGAACCCCCCCCTGGCTACGGGCCTGTGTATTTATTGATCCTTTATTAAAACTACAGATGGTTCACTCAATTCCGAATAAACAAAAAATAATCCTATACACGTTTACTTGGTTCTCATGATACTGCCTATAACCTATAATACTCATGTATCAAAACAAATATTAATTAATCCGTCTGTGTGATTGTTCCCTGACTCAAACTAAGCGAACCCCGATTTCAGTTTTAAATATTTCACTTGAAACCATTTAGCCAACATGATACAATATGACATTTGATTAATTATACATGTATAAAGCCAATTATTATCAAAACCCATAAATGCTCACAATATAAATATAGTTTTATTGATGGCCAATAACAGATATCAGTGGCGTAGCCAGCTTTCAGTCAGTGGGGCGGGGATGCGATCGCCAAAAAGATTTCGGGTTTCAGTCGGGGGGGGGGGGGTGCGATTGTGACATAATCGGGGGGTGCGATTGTGACATAAACCAGCCAAAAAATGATTTTTATATTGAATTTTACAAAATTAGATGCAACTTCATTCCAAATTGAGCTAGAAGCTTCAAATAAAAAGCTTTAAAGTTCTTTTTCTCCTCTTTCTCAGGGTCTTATTCTTATTCGCAACCCCCCCCCCCCTGGCTAAGCCTATGGATATTTAGACAAGTTTCAAATAAATAACCTAGCAACCAACCACGCAAGCAACCAAGCAAGCAAGCAAACGACCATCAAAGCAAGCAGGAAACTAAGCAAGTAAAAAAAAACATGCAACTTACAAATAAAGCAAGCAAACAACCGACAAACCAACCAATCAAGTAACTAATCAAACTCTAATCCAGCAAAGAAACCAAGGAAGCAACTAAGCAACAAAGAAAGAATGTAAGCAAGTAAACGGTCAATCAAGCAATCAATCGTGCAAATAAGCAAGCAAACAAACAATCTACCATCCAAGCAACTAATTAACATAATTCAATAGATTAAAATCAAACCTTGCGCACATTTTCTCTACGGGGGTCGTACGGCGGCCGGAGCTTCAAAAAACTAGATACACGTTGAAAGTTCCAAAGTGCAAAATGTAGCTCTGTGCTTAATTTTGGTTATGTTTAAGATGAAACTTTTCAGATTTGCTTCACTTAATGCATATCCCCAGGATTTCAAAATACGATACACATGTATGTATTACAATTGGAGACAAATTTCTAATACTTGCCCAATCAATCAGTGATATCAATTTCATTTCATTTCAAACTGGGAATGTTTAACTTGATTACAGGAGATCGGCTAGGAATTGTTGTTTATATGTAACCCCCCACAGCTCCCTCCCGACCTGTAGGATTAAAATGGAATAAGTGATTGATCATTGATCTGATAAGCCACTTATATGCAAGATTATTAATTTTAAAAATAGACCAACTTGATATTGTTTAAAGTTAGTTTTAACATATTTTCCATCGATATACGGTAGCATAGAAATAAACATGTGACTGTTTCCAGGGGCTGTTTGGCATTTTGAAGACAATCCTTTTGTTTCTTGTCACTTTTTAATGTGTTAATATTCAGCATTAAGTGTTAACGTTCGGCGGTTGGGATTTGGCGTTTGTTAAAAATCGCAGGTCGTTCATAGCATCACTAGAAATATGTCGAGTCGGGGATTGATTTTGCAAGTATAAGGGTATCATTTTCAGCAGAGATTATTATTTAAGACTTCATTATTTTTCTAATTCTCATTACATGAACTTTAGATTAAACAAATGATCAAAGGATGGCTTTTTGCACCACTGTTGAATCGGGGAATGATTGTGCAGCAAATCTTGAGCATTCACCAACAAATGCGCGATTACCATTTTGTTTTACATGTAAATCATACTAGTTATTCAAGACCCTGTACAATCCACTTTAACAACTGTCAGGAGGGCTTGTAACTCGATTTAATCATACAGGGTATTTATTGAGAGGGGTTCCGGGGGATATTGGTTATATACCAAGGGTAATGTGTTAAGTTTGAAGAAAAGTTTAAGGTTTATTCAATAAAAAAGAGATTATAACACATCAATTACACAATCACACCAATTCGTGTGATTTAGCTGGGAATGCCTTTTGTGAATATGTATATTGTGTGAAGGAAAAAAGATCGTCTGCGTCTAACAGTTAATTACAGTAGCAATGTTTTTCTAGATACTTAACTGCAGGTGATCAAAGATGTCAAATCATGGGAACCAAAAGTATAATCTCATGAAAGTTTAAACGCTTTAAAGTACAATATCCAAATGCTTTTGCTTTAAACTATTGATTCGTGCTCTTGTGCTAAAATTTCACTATGTTGCCATTTGAAATAGGTAATTGGTATCTTCCGAATTTCCATATTTTCAAATAAGTCAGACGATGACTAAAGGAAAATAACTAGAATCAAACCCCCAAACTGGCCCCTGGCATTCTTAATGACTTGATTTCAAATATTAATATACAAGAAACAAACTGGAGACATAAATAAGATCGGGTATGGGAGATGAGGGGTGAGTAAATGGGACATTGTATGCCCCCTCTGTAACAGACCTTCAATACAAACTTGTTTCAAATCCCGGGTTTCAAATCACACTAATAGTTTTAAAATGTACAATTTAAGCAGTTTATTCTAACCAAACCTGTAATCCTTTAGTTTCTTCAGGAATTTGCAAAAGAAAGTATTTGAATTTTTTATTAGGCTCAGCATTATTTTGCAACCAAGATTTATTAATTTATATTGTATTTAGAAAAATAGTATTTCAATCAGAGAGACGTTCTAATGAGTTAGGAAAATACATTTGTCCATTTCCTCTCAGGAAGTTTTCAAAAGTAATCTAGTCGATTTGTTTATTTTAGTGTTTAGCATTGTTTTTCATAACTTGACGCTTCCATGAATAGAATGACTTTGAAATTAGATTTTTTTATAATTTTAGCTTTTACACGGACATAATTATTGTATATTTCTACATGAACGTCGCCCCCCCCCCCAAATTACAGATATACAACTTTGGGTTGAGAGACAGGCCTGATGGTGCATCGGGGATGGTAACAGTGTGGTTTATACAATCATTAAAACACTGCAATGTTTGTAGAATGAAAATATTAAGTCATGCATTGGTCAATATTGAATTTAAACTGGCGGGGATTAAACAAAACGCCAGATCGTTGATTGTCTTACTGGCTTGCTTGAAGATAATGCACGAATCAAATAGCATTGATTTCTTCTTAATCAGATGGATAAGCTTATTGTTTTCTCTAATTAAAAGGCGGCTTTAAGTTACTTTTACAGGATTTGCAAATTCGCAATCAGACTGGCTTATTTTAATCCGGTTTATTTGGTGTTTGATTTCGACTTTAACTGAAATAATTTATCACAAATAATGGATAAGCAAACAGAGACCAGTTTAAAAATGAGAATAGAGGCAAAAATAACTCTATTCATAAACTGTAATTAAAACCCAGGAGAAATTCTAGACTGTTAGATAATCTTTTCTGTAATCAAGGTGATGTTGGTACATGTCCGCAGTTAAAAAACAAAGACTATTATAGGAATTAATCCCTTTGTTATCATTAAATGTTAGATTCTTATTATTTTTGTTGGACAATGTTAAAACTTCTGTCTCCGATTGTTATGCAGGCATGTGTATGAAAAAGAGAGTTTCGTCTTCTTATAGTTTATAACTAGACTCTGTACGCATGGTAATAGTGCCCCTATTATCCATGTTCAGGGGCATAGCCAACTTTCAGTCAGGGGGTGGGAGGTACGATCGCCAAGAAAAACAATCTCGGTTTTCAGTCGGGAGAGGGGTGCAATCGTGGCAAAAGCAGGCCAAAAGATGCAACTTCCTTCAAAATTGAGCTAGAAGCTTCTTTCTCTTCTTCTATTTCATGGTTCTATTTTATTGGTTATGCATCGCACCCCCCCCCCCTGGCTACGGCTATGCCATTTGAGAGTCAAAAAGAGAGGCGACAAGACAGTTAAAACAAGTACTTCCAATAAATACTTTTACAGTTTTAATGTGTTTATCAACGACCCTACTAGTCAAATTAATGGAAACGAAAAATAAATGCTTTCATTACGGAAAAACTGGAAAACCGTAGAAATATCTACCTGATTCGCTAGAATAGTCACATTACTTCAGTGCAAACAATTAATATCTATAATATTTATTTTATATTATTGATATCTTTCCCCTGACAATATGTTATCTCATGGTCCGTTAACATCATCAACAATGTGATTTACAACAAGAGATTAACCAACATTTCTTGATTAAAAAGTTGATATTTCTTGCTTTTTTAAAGCAAAAACACTATGACACAATAGCTTCAAGGCAAAATCAAAACATGGTGTGGAAATAAAAGGCATACAAAATGGCCATTAAAAGGACATAACATGGGAAATCTTGCCGTTTTGCAACCATTCCTAAAATCAGTAAAGCATACCAGACTGAGAAACGCCGGATTATGGACAACTGGCTGGTGTAATTATGAGCGACAAGACAGTTCAAACAACACATGACGCTCAATATCAATATGTTGTAATGTTTCTTCCAACGGCCCTGTTTATTACATTATTAAAACAATTGCTCAATTTGCAACAACGCTGTATTTATTTTTATATGTGATATACCTGATATATTGATAATATGTCTTCCATAACAAATGCTTATATCTTACCTCGGTCATTTCATTATCTCATGGTTAGACATCATCAATCTTATGATTTACCACAAAGAATTACACCATTTCTTAATTTTTTTACTTATCAAACATCACTTATTAAAAATATAAAAAATGGACAATAAAATTTTTGAATAAAACTATCAAATCAGTCATTGCTCAGCAAATACAAAGTATAAAGGAATAATAAACAGAACGTGTTCGCACAAAGTTAATAATACGGATCGGCAAGTCAACAAGTCTGACCGTTAAATAAACAAACATAACCTATGTCTCCAATTGTTCGTCTGCTGGTCAGAACTTGGTATCCGCTTCGGATAACCAATTTCTGAGAATACTGATGTCTTAAATAGATCAGACTTTTTGCATAAAGACGTCTTTAAATAAGAATATTTAATCTGCAACTTCAATTAATATCGTAAACCACAACACCTTGCTGGCGTCTGGTAAATCTAAAAATCTGTTTTTCTTAAAATATTACATTTTTATTAATAGATTTATAAAGTGTAGCTTTCTTTTAAACGAATTGTCATTATCTAGCTTTATGGATTATCACGCTTCTATTTAGCTAAACACATCGATACTTACTACTCGTTATCAGTCCAAAAACCAAGCATACACATGTAGCATATTCAAATAAATGTCAGAATGTAGGCCTATCATATCACGCGCGTAGTTCTAAAGTTAACAACATATTAATGCAATAGAATAAGACACGATAATTAAAAAGATAAACCTCGGTATTCGGGCCTAAAAACCACGGATACGTGTATCAATACCTAGGGGTAAGCAGAAATAACCTTCCAAATAAGTGTATCAATAATCAAGGATAGCGACAACTAAGCACCGAGTAAGATGGTAATAAGCAGTTTATTGCAAGTTATTAAACACGATTTTTTCTTGTGTTTGTTTGTTTATTAGACAATATTATCAAAACATCTTTAATGAAATGCCGCACTGGAAACTTGAAACGTTCCATTCTTACTTTAATGATAGAATGAAAATATATATCCTTTATAGTTTAATTACAATCCCAGCTCAAAAATATTTTTTGTACAATAATAAAAGCATATTTTATTCCACTCCCCTTTGAATTAAACTTTCTTCTACGTGCACTCGTTGACATCTTGACACCCTTTATTGCTTTGCAATTCCTTAATTTCCAAAAATGACGAGAATTATCCTACATTTACTTTTCGGTACAAACATTTAATAAAGTATTTCCTAGAGTATTTCATATATCCATATTTTTGATCTTAAGGCGACGATGTTGGTTCAATGTACAGAGAGGCCGTTCCGTGTGGAATGAGACCAGCAGATATGAGATGTGCTCAAATCATTTTCATTTGGGCACTGGGTTCCCCGGGACAATGTGAGAATGAAAAAATGGGATTTCGCATTGGAAAAACTGGTTTCTCAAAGTTAATTCTACAGGTATGTATGTTTTCATCTCTATTGGTAAAATATGGAATTGTCGTATTCGTTGTTCCCTCTTCAAAAGAGGAGACGCGAAAGATTTTCCTTATGAGGTCAAAATATTTCCTATGATGCAGTTCGCGGAGGAACAAATTCATACATCCTTGTTCACGAGGGGAAAGTCTACCCGCGTATATACAACCTATCGCCGAGCAAAGACCCGAAGATCTTTGAAATTGTAGGGGATAAGTTAATAAACTACGGTTTATATATTGATTTTCTCAATATGAGAAATAGATAAGACACAGAATTATTTGTAACAGATATAGTTGTGGTTCCAGGTATTGCATGAACACACCACCACTTAAAACTCCAAAGTAACGATACTACATTGTATATATTGGGTTAATTTGGCAGTACGGTGCTTTGATTTTATTGTCATGTGGAAAATATACGTGCGATATATGCGTGTCTTACTCGGCGGTAGGTTGTATATACGACGCGGGTAGACTTTTCCCCTCGTGATTTCTAACAAATTGGTTATTTTGGGTATGTAAATCTAGGACATTTTCCTTTTAAAAGTTCTCTCTATGTATCTCCAAATATGATAAGTGCTTCTAATGAATATAATTTCAAAGGGGATGTCGACTAGTATGGGTACTTAAATTATACAAAAAATGATTTTTTCAGCATCATTGGAACAATCCAGAACTACGTAACGATTACTATGATAGCAGTGGAATGGTTATCTATTACACACCAAATCTACGCCCTAACGATGGAGGTATCATGACAATTGGCCAAGAGAGGTTGAGCATTCCTCCCAGAGTTCCTCTGCACACTGCTACAAGTAAAATGTCCAAGGCGTGTACTTACTCTATTACAAAAGGAGTTGGGCCACTGACGATGGTTGGAAGCTTACTTCATATGACAAATCACTTCCGGTAAACATGGCGTCGGACGTAATTATGAACGGCTCCCGAATATCGGACTTAGATCCATGCATGGAACGTGCACTTGCCCAATGTGAGGCTATACCTCGCTATGAAGTGGCAGAAAACTTATTTATGGATTATGATGAAGGTGCTTTACATGAAGGACGTGAAATCTTGTTTCAAATGGCAACAGAAAAATTGGATATCAAATGTACAGAAATATATGGCCCACAATCTGCCCGGGGACTCGAGCAGACGTTGGAGCTAAAATTGAAGAACCGAAAAGGTGAAACTAAGAAGATAAGTATGTGCAATGATATTTATGAACTATATATCTATGTCAGAAATCTAGTGACTGATTTTCCGAGGTGTGTGCTTGGCACTTCAAGTAAAATCCCTGAATTAGTTACTCTCAAGGGGCAACGACAGAATCGGCCAAATAACGTAATTCAACCATCTGTTTTGGACTTGTCTGCTAAAGTAACGGAATTATCTATGGACATCCGTAAACTTAACTCTGATAATGAGAAGATAAAGAGTGATTTACAAGGTAAAATAAGGAAACTGGAAAGCGAAGTTAAAAAGCTAGAGGAGAAAGTAGGTCATTTGAAAAACAATAACACTGGTCAGTTGGCGAATACAGCCAATAAAGCCGATACATGTGAGCAACGCGGCGGGGTAATTACCAATCTACCTGAAAACAATGCACCCAACTCAGGGCCTGTGAATCAATTGGTATTACCTGATTTGAGGCCAAGGAATCAACAAACTATTATTGATAATCCGATGAGTTTCAAACATCAAGCTGATACTGTTACACGAACCCGAAACATTTCTGAGGTCACAAAGACTTTGATTGGAACTACTGACTCGCAATCAGCTTCTGTGTCAACTCAAGCAAGATCTAGTGAACTAAAGTCAACTGCCGATGCGGATAAAATACAAGATGGCGGTATAGCGCAATCCACGTCAGATGTACCTAGCCAGGCTCCTGCTGTTCAAACACGCGACGTTGATATTAAGCTCTTATGCCAAGACAATACAGATCATAATGACAGTAGCCTACCCGATGTTGATTGGGTTGAAGTAATGCCTAAACGGAAAAAGAGGCATAACACTGCGCCGATTCCCAGTATGATGGTTAAGGAAACAAAGCCGTTAACGTTTGCTAATGTTGTGAAAAGCTCTAAACCTACACCCAAGCCGATCCCAAGTCCCATGAATAAGAAAGTGTTGAAATCTGCGATGAAGCCTGCTCGATTGCTTCGAGGTATAACTGCTGTTAAACATGTGACTTTATATGTTGAGAACATTGCAAAGGACGGATGCGAGACGGATAATGACATTGTACTACAATTGAAGGACCACGCATTAACGCAGGGTATTAATATTAACAAATGCTGGGTTGTATCAAATAAATATAGCAACACTCGTGTCGGTTGTAAGATAACAGTTCCCGTCTTCTCTGTGGTTAAAGCCCTCGATTCAAACTCCTGGCCAGATCCGATTTGCTGCAGAAGGTGGGAATATAACAGAAGAAATGATACTCGGTCATATAGCGCCTTTAAACGAGCTTTAGGCAGGAGAGATAATGATGACTCGAGAAACTGTAGTGATAACAGTATCAACTATGAAGACATTTATGAATCAACAAATGAGTACTATAGGAACACTGTATGGGATTCGCGCGGCAATAATCGTGTGTTCAATAATGACGACAATGATTGGTGAATCTCTGACTATAACAGCCTGGAACGCAAACGGATTAAGTGCCTCTAGTCCGTACCTAAAAACATTATTGTCTTCCTCTGATATCGTCTGTTTAAGCGAGCACTGGCTCTATGAAAGTGCTCTTGATAATTTGAGAACGTTCGATCCACTTTTTGACTGTTTTTCTGTGAGTAGTAAGACATTAGATTCACTTAACCAAGGTCACCGGATAGGTAATGGGGGAGTTGCTATTATGTGGAGGCGATCCCTTTCAAACTATATTTTCCCACAAAAGAAACTTGGTGATAGTGATAGATTTATTGTAGTCAAAATTGCCCAACCAGACTCGAGAAACATATTTCTTATCTCAGCGTACATGCCACAGCGTAATTGTAAAAATTATGTTTTTTCAGAGGTCTTAGATGAACTCGAAGATGTTATAACAACAATGAAAGATGACGGTGATATTATTCTCATTGGTGACTTAAATGTTAATTTAGGGCGGTTGTATGGTGTTCGTGGATCTGGAGTGATAAGTAAAAATGGCATCTTGTTAAATAATATGGCATTAAGATGTAATTTAAAAGTTGTTGATCTAACAGAAAAATGCACAGGTCCTGAATACTCTTTTTATAGAGAAAATGTTGGAAGGTCATACATAGATCATTGCCTTATATCTGAGATATGTAAAGTTAAATATGTTAAAATTCTAGAAGAAGAATTATTAAATAACTCTGACCACTTACCTTTGCAGGTTGTTCTCGAAACCACTGCGTCGGCACCGATCACTACTACTCAGCACATAAGCAACTCTCTTACCAAACCAGCCTGGAATAAGATTGATAGCACCAGTTTATATGAAAATTACACACGCGTTGTTAGTGAACGCCTTGCTCCACTAATTATCCGTGTTAGACAGATGATAGAAAATCGAGAAATGACAACAAATGATCTAAATACGATATTCGATTCTTTAACGGAGATAGTAAAATCTGTTTCAAAGAGTGCGATACCATACTCCCGATATAGGAAGCACCTGAAGCCATACTGGTCACAAGTCTTAACAGATCTATCAAATGAGAAAAAGTCTGCTTTTTGCGCATGGAAGCTGAAGGGAAGACCCAGAGATCCCAATAATGGTGACTGGTTACGATACAAGACAGCTAAACGATGCCTGAGGCGAGAACTGCGCAAAGCTGAAGCTGCTTATGAGCTGGAGTGCCAAAAAGAAATAGACAATGCTGCAGAAATAAGTTTGAAGAGGTTCTGGTTTATCGTGAAACGACGCAGAGGAAGAGGAAAGGCTACTACAGCTATCAAAAATGACAAAGGTGAAATCATAACAGACGATGAAGATGTCCGTAGGGAGTGGAGGGAGTATTTCAGTAGACTGATGTCTCCCACAGTTGATGATACCTACGACACTGAACATGAAAGTCACGTGATTAACAGAGTTAATGACATGTTACAAGAAAGCAAGACTAATGAAGATGAGTCCTTTAAAGAACCCATTAGCTTTAATGAAATGGAGAAGCTAGTTAACGCCCTGTCAAAAAATAAAGCTACAGGTTGGGATGGAATAAGTGCAGAACATATTCAATTTGCAGGTGACGGTATCTTTGAGCTCTTGGCAATGTTATTTAACCAAATCTTGCATCTAGAATATATCCCTCTGAGTTTTAGACTTGGAGTCTTAGTTCCTATTTTTAAAGGAGGTAATAAAGATAGTCTAAATAAAGACAATCATAGGGGAATAACTCTTATTTCTACATATATGAAAATACTAGAGAAGCTGATGGTTGACAGAAGTAAGAATGTTAAATTATCAGAAGAAATATCGTGTTTGCAAGCTGCGAATAAGGAAAAAACATCATGTCTTCATACTTCTTTTTTAACAAGAGAAGCCATTAGCCATGGGTTGGAGAATGGTGATGACGTCATTGTGACGTCAGTAGACATCCGTAAAGCCTTTGACAGTGTGTGGCATGCAGGTCTATTGTACAAGATTTTCAATATTGGGATCAATGGGAAACTTTGGAGAATCTTGCGCTTAAGCTATATGGATTATAAATGTGCAATACGATGTGGATCAGATGTATTATCGGAACCTTTTAGCATTTCCCAGGGTGTCCATCAAGGTGGTATTTATTCGATGGAATTGTACTCTTTATATATGAATAAACTCTTAATTGACATTGTAGCAAGTGGCAGAGGAAGCTCGATTGGTGACATAGTGTGCACATGCCCGTCTTACGCGGATGACACTGTTATCATCGGATATCATACGAATTCTGTTCAGTATATACTAGACCTAATGCATGAGTATAGCAAAACCTGGAGGTTCAAATATCATCCTGAAAAATGTAAAGTTGTAATTTTTACGAACAGGAAAACCATGACTGATCACGCTGACCTTAAGCTTGGCGAAAGTGTTATCCCAGTTGTACGATCAACACAGCATGTTGGCCTACCCCTGTCTACAGATAGCAGTAATAGGGAATTCATTGATGATGCGATATCTAAAGGACGCAGGTCGATGAATGCGTACATTGGAACTACTACCAGCTGTACAAACCCAACGAATCCTCTAACTGCTTCTAAGTTATATTGGGCAGTGAGTGTTCCTTCAATGACTTTCGGTATGGAGCTGATACACTTTAATGAGGCAGAATATGAGACGCTAGAGCAAGGGCATCGGGGAATAGGCAAAAAATTGCAGGGTCTCCCGGTAAACACACCCAATGTTGCCGTTCTACCTCAGCTCGGATGGCATAGTATAACTTCCACTCTCATAATAGCGAAAATGATGTTCTTATTACAGCTATTATCGATGGCCATTGGTTCAGTGTACAGATGCGTTGCGATCAAAAGAATATTAGCTTACAGAATAGGAGGAAGGCAACTGAGCAAATTCTCACCAATAAATGATTTTATGATACTTGCCGAACGATATGGAATATTGCACTTAATATATGACATGATTGACTCGACCACCTTGCCATCTAAAGACTTGTGGAAACAGAAGGTTGGGACAAAAATTCGAGATTATGATCTGAATCGATGGAGAAGGGAGGCGACTACATATCACAAGTTAAAGCTATACACGGACATTGTTCAAAAAGTCAAACCAATAGTATGGTGGACTATAGCCAGACAAGATGCTAGATATATCCGAAGATGCTCTCTTATGGTTCGACTACTCACCAGCCAAGGTAATCTGAGAGTAAACGTTGGAGAATGGGAGGGAATTCCAATGCGGGATAGACTCTGTGAACTGTGTCAGCATGAAGTTGAGACTTTAGAGCACTTTACGTTGTTTTGCCCAAATAACAATGAAAACAGGACCCAAATACAAATAGTGATAAACAGATATTTGAATGATGAGCACGTGACGACTTCTAACAAACTGAAATTGGTCTACGGAGGCGATGAGCGTGTCAGTCATGATGAACTCAAGGCAATGTCCAGTAATGTACGTGACATGTATATTAAAAGAACGGAGAAAAACTGAAATCCACATAAGAATGGTGGGAGTAGTGATCGGTTGCCGAGGATTTGATGTAACGATTTACCTAATTAGTAAATAGGTTTAAGCAAAGATATTTTACCGATATGAGTCTATGTATATAGTTTTACCAAGATGAGCCTGTAATACACCTATGTATGTATTTATATTTACAATGTGATTTGGTTTGATAAATGATAGGTGGACAATATCTTATTGTAGCTAAAGGGTAATAGGTAAAGTGTAGGTTAACTGACGGCGTCAACGCGGTAGCCTGGCGTCCGTCAACAGCAAATATTAGGTGGAGAACTTTTTTTTCTTATTGTATGTAACAGATAGTAGTAACTTGACGGCGTCAACGCGGTAGCCTGACGTCCGTCAACATCAGGGATTGGTTGTAAATAAACATTTTAATTGTTTTTATTTTTGTATGTGTCTTTTATATGTATTGTAATAATTAATTATTATTATCTCCAAAAATGGAGGCGAAATAAATATAATAATAATAATACCTTGGTATGTTAACGGAGTCTGATTTAGGAAACAAGGAAATGGATCATTGATAAATAATGGGCCATTGTATTTTAGATATCTGAGCAATGTTTTGGGCCCAACCGAAAGTGGATTGGAAGCCGTTATTCAAACTGATACTCCGTTGCCCGGAGTAGACCATTTTGGTAACACTGTTACTGATATTTTGAAGACTAGATCTACCGAGGAAGCTTAATACTACACAAATATTCGTGATGACCATCTTTCAACGGAATACTTGGTCTAAAGACAACCTATGGAAATATTTTTACTAAATTGGTCCACTACAGGCAACGGAGTATCGATTTTGAATAATGGCTGCCAATCTTCCTTGGGCCCAACTTGTACATAAAACAAGTGCACGTGACACTGTCGCGAATCAAGCCTTTATGACTCTTGCAATTGGTATATGTAACTCATTGGACTCAATAAAAGAGTGTAAAAAACTATGTTTTTAGGCAGGTCGATAAAACTGGAGCAGTATAGAGGGGGTAAAATGATCGCTTCACTCGGTGAAGATGAAGTCTATGATTATGACTCTCCAGTCATGCGCACGTAAGTCATGATTCAAAATACAAATAATGCAATAAAAATCAATTTAATGGAGTTATGACATAGATCGACGAAACATGTTATACATAAGAGGGGAAATGACCTTCTATAATAAAGATCTGTATTATGACCTACCGTCCGGATTGGTCCAAATCGACAAACAAAATGGCGGATTCAAAATTTTCTAATAACGCTTCGAATAATATGATGTTAATTTCTCGCGTGTTAACCAATATCATAGCTTGTTATTTCACATCAATTAAAAGATAAAGTGAGATGTAAGGAATGTGCTCATTAAAACATCAAAACGACGTGTTATATTCGAAAACTAACTGATGAGAATGTGCGCAAACAAAGCTGGTACTAGTAATAAGAGACGTAATATGTCCGTCATCGATAAAGGTCTGGGGATTTCCCTCCTCTTAATCTGCATCACATTTTTGATACTAAATTATTTTCCCCTATATATTTTTAAAATAGTTTTGGGACACTACTTGAGCCTTCTTTGCAACAAATATGTTCACATTTGTTTTTAGTTATGAGACACCATTTGAGTTGAGAGAAAGGGACGAGGGACTTTTAACGTGTAACTACAACTCCATGTCGAAAAATTCAACCACCTATTGGGGCGATGCAACTTCTGATGAAATGTGTTATGCATTTGTGCGTTACTACCCATTCAACGAGAATATGAAATACATAACGAATCAGGGAACGCGAGATGCCTGCGCCGTTGATACACTTTCCGATGGGGATACATTAGGAGTTGTTGATGGCTGCGACCTAGATAATTTCATTAAGAATGAAATCCCTGGAATCGCCAACGCTACAGAGATGATATGCGATGTTACTGGACTCAGTTGCTATTCTGAATGTTTGGACGCCAAAAAGGAATTAATTAAGACAAATGTATGCGTGAGAGAGGAGGATGCCATTGAAATGACAGAATCATTTTTGTCCGCCGCATATTTTGACTTGGAGCCATTTTGGAGAGCTTTCCATTCATGTGATGAAAAAATTGCTGCTGAGGAAACTAAAGATGGAAACAAAGCTGCTACCATGACAACTTCATTGACCTTAACGGCATTGGTTTTCTTAAATGCCTTTACTAAGCTCTTTACTTAAAATATAAAGCACATAAATGAGATCGCTGATTATAAATTTTCAATGTTGTTTGACATATTTTAAGATAGAAAAATATAAAATAAATAATTTTGATGATCTAGATTTATTATTACAGTAATAATTCTCGTTTTGCTTGTGTTAGTCATTTTTACTTTTCATTTTGTGAGGAATAATCCACGAGTACTTGCGGCCTTCGAGTCTGCTAAAATAAGAATTTTGAAAAAATGTCTGCTGAATAGAGTGGGTGCAATTAGAAATACACTTTTTAAAGTGTCACCCAGTTCATATATTGTATTTTGTGTGTATTTCAAATAATAAATAAACATAAACATAAAACAAATAATCCACGTCGTTAAATGTCATCTAAGTTAATTGTGTTTTCACCATTTTTGAGATGAAATATTTCAGATGAGGGAAATCATAATTTGGAGAGGGTGTGTAAAAATCAATTAAGGTTAAGCCGGAAAGAAACATTTTGGTAAAAAATTGCTATAGCTGCACATGTTATTTTCTGGTACACTATAAAGTATGGAGGCAATTTTTTACCAAAATGTTATTTTCCAGCTGTACCTTAAGAATAGCTCCGCAGAATGAAGTGAGTTGTTACACCCCAGCCACATTTCCCACGGCCGCCGTGCGGTCTATCATTTCTGCGGCCAGTAGCTTTTCTACGCTCGCCGTAGAATTTCTGCGCTCTCATACTTTTGCAATCACATTTCCCACGGCAGCCGTACGGTGAATTTTAAATTTCTGTTGATAAATAATACTTTTTTTCATTTTATTTACATCAGGACAATTTATAAATGTTATTCATAGTGCTAGGATGTAAGATCAAATGAAAAGTCATCGTGAAGCATTGACAAATAATGATTCAATCTTGTTGAGCCAGTTGGTTTCTCCGGAGACTTCAGAAATGAACAAATATAACTCCAAATTATAATTTCTACGGCGACCCTGCGGCCTGTAAAAAACTGGATAAGCCGTACTGAGGCCGCAAGGTGAGCGTAGTTTTCCTACGCTCGCCGCAGAAATTCACTGATTTAATTGATCTGCGGTCGACGCACGGCCTCCGTACGACAAATGTGACTGGGGTGTTACACTCTATTTCTCATCAATGAGGCTACCGCCATCTTTTATTCGAACTTCTGATCTTCGATTATTAAGCGTTCGTTTCGGCTGAAATGAAATGAGTTGATGCACAATGCAATTTCTCATCAATTCAATTTCTATTTAAGAGTCCATTTCACTGCTTCATTTCGTCAGTAGAACCCCAAAAATAAGAAATCGGAAGACCATTGTGCAATAATATATGGAAAAGTATATTCATATTTTACATGAATGACTGTATATTTCAGATTTTTTAGTTTTTTGTGCAATAAGTCTGTGCCCTCTTGTAATTTGAAGAATTTCAGGCATGTTAATCTTATTGAAAATAACATGGCAGAGAAGCATCCAAATATAAGAAGCCACACACATGTTATAAGCCAAACTAGAAGAAATCCAAATGTCATTCATTTTTCCATATACTATTGCATAATGATCTTTTGATTTCTTATTTTTTAGGTTTTACTGACGCAATTAAACAGTGAAATGGACTCTAGTTGAGTAATATCTCCCGCTTTCATGAAAGAACCGGGACGGTTATAAGCTAGAATTATACAAATACAACTTCCAAAGGTACTTTGTGGTGCTATTTCTATTTGGTTTTTGTCACCTTTCTCGTCCTTTGTCGTATCCGTAAGATTTTCCTCCGTTCACTTCGAATATGGATGTATCTCTTGAACTCCATGTAGTGTAATGTTTATTTGGCCTGAAGTATTGAACATGAAATTCATTTCAGAGAGGGACTGCACGTAATAGCTAATTTCCCGTTTCCTCGCGGAGAGTCGAACAATTAGCTAAATTCTGGGCACACTTAGAAAACAGGATTATTATTGGCCCGTGTGTGTTCCAAGCAAAATATTATAACAACTAATACATTTTTGACAAGTTATGACACCTAAGCAGACTAGCCTCGTGGTGTAGAGAGACTACTTTGTGGGTTGAGCGTTCGATGGGATACGGAGGTCCCGCGTTCGAGCCCCAGGTACGGAGTTGTTGATCATTGTCACTACGGACACCCGGTCCGAAGGTCCAACCGTTTACCGGCCCTTGGCATGGGTTGGTTCTCTGGCCGCTCTTGCCGGAGACAGATTGTGAGACTGTGGTTGGTTCCTCCACTAACGTGCTTTAGTAAACTCCGGGAGTCATATAGTATGGTAGCGGGCCCCCACCAAGGGCAGTAGTGGAACGACGCGAATCGGTCCCAGTATGGTTGCATTGCAACTGAAGAGACTCGAGGAAATCATGCCATTCGCTGTGACCCAGAAAAGGCTTTTGCTTTTTGATATATTCGTTAATTTATTTTCAATATAAGAAAAATACATCACAGCTCAAATTTGCAAGGAATATAGGCCTATGAAAAACATTATTCCAATCTGAAAATTTGAAAATGTTGAATATTGTGACATTAATGCACTTTTTAAACAAGATTATAGACCGTTCGAGATACATTGTACCATGGACCATTCAAAACCAATAGATGTTAAAAATGGGTATATTTCATGTAATTAAAAATAGCCAAAACAAAAATGATTTTTTTCTCATTGCTTTATGTATTTTAAAATAAAATGCCTTTATCTAAATTCGGTCAGCATACTTATTGATCATTCCGGTTGTAAATAACTTTGATAACTCGCGAATAAGTTGTGAATTTCGTGAATTTGTTGATGAAACGTGACATCACGCCTATGAAAACATGTCATATCTCAGTTATAAATGGTCGGATCTTTTCATTTTGGTTCTGTTGGCATAGAAAACATTCAGTCAGAGTGTGATGACAGCAGTTTATTTGCTTCTCACCTACGACCGATTATATATACCCATTATAGTAAGTGTAAAATTTATTCTGTGAAAAACGTCACGGTCGTTAAAACGGGCCCAGAAGGCAGTAGGGAAACTCGAGATAAATAAATTATCTTTGGTTATCAAGTCTTTAGTTCAATTTATCAGACTATCGTGTCACAAATCGTGATAATAGTTGTGATGGAATTATAATGAGCATGATCTGAAAAATTCTGAAAATTCACAGTTTTGCTTGTGAAAAACGACCGTGATGTTACTCATATATTGCCAGTAGTCTTGGATGGAAATGGGGCAATTTCCAAGAAAACAATATGTCCACTCCATTATAACAAAAAAAGGTTTTCGAAATAACCAGCATTACCGCATCTATGAACTGATATTGTGCGAAACTGTGACAAACGTCACGCGTGAAAAACGTCACGATTATAGCATTGAACTCAAAGCAGTAATTAGCCATTTTTTATAAATCCCAGATGGATTAGTTTAATTTTGTATAATTGCCCATATTCTTATAACACATGTTTAACAATTATTTAGTAATAGCGCACAAAGATCAACTCATAGACAAGGAAATGATAACAGCTAAACGAATTTGCCCTTTTGTAAATGTGCTTTTTACAATTTATACGTCTTTACAATAATACGTTACATGCAAGCAAATGACAAGTTATTTAGATATTCCATAAGCATAATTTATCGGAAAAGTCATAACAAAAAATGTTATATGAAGACCATTGAAGCCATAAATAGTTGACCCTTAGTAAATAACGTTTCGTTCAGTGTATTCCCGGGGATCGCTGAAATCAATCATAAAGTCCCTTAATGTTTGCATTCTGTTTTCTTTTCAATTAATGCAATTATTATTAATGGAGAACAGCATAAACCGAAAACTCTAATTAAGTAATATGAACGATTAAAGCTTTTCAACGATGTTTTTGTGTTATAATTAATTATTATTTCCTTTTGAATTCCATTTGCACGATCTGTATATGATCTGTAATATTCAATACGCCTTCGCGAAACGCAATTCGTTGGAAAAGAGACAGAGAAAAGCAAAAACTAAGCAATGCCCGAGAATATTAAAGAAAATGTAAGGCAAGCAATTCAAAAATACACTCCTCTTTGAAATATATCGCCAACCGACTAGCAAAAAGAAATCAGAGACACAAAATACACGCTTCGAGAATGGAGCCAACAAAGCGAGATTACTTCTTTCAAAGTTCTCTCTCTCCAAAGCAAAACCGGGTTAACCCATTGCACCGAAAATTAAACTTCCAGCAGAACTTCAAAGAAAAACTGAAAATCACAGGAAAGAATTGAGTTTATGCTGAGAGTTTTGTGATGTGATATCAGAAACCGTTGAAAAAGTATCGAGTCTGACAAAAATATTTCGTTCTGGCGACTTAACTCAGCTCGAATGAAGCAAAACATAACTATTAGAACGTTTTCGGTGGCCATGAAAAATGTCCAAAAAGTGTGATGAGATCGGGACATCGATGAAGCGCACTACAGACCAAAAGAAAATTTCATATTCACAGTGCAGATGATTTTTATCCTTTGGCTTCGTCAGACTTAGATAAGTCAGAAATATCATTCTCATATCTTTCAAATGATAACGGACAATCAAGTAGAGATACCGTTAAAATATTTCAAATGAAAAAGTCTCTCTTTAAATTTGAAATCTTTTAAACTGACTTTTCTGATACATGATTGAATGCCGTTAATATCATTTGGAATGAACATGTATGGTTGTTCTGCTGTTTGTGGTGCATGCAGGGAAGACTTCACTACATCACCCTGCAACTGGTCTACATCCATAGTAAAAGTTTCTCAAATTTGTAAAAACAAATCAAAGCGTCTTACCTTATACACTATAAGAGATTAAACGGGAACTAGGGTGATGGGTGCTTGACGACCTGGCATTTGCACCATCGATGTTAAATGTAAAAAGAACTGGTTTCTTGAATCAGTGAAATTTTGGAGAAGTTGATTTAAAAAGATAAATAATGTGGTTTGCACTTAGTTATTGAAAATAGAAAATGTGTGTCAGTACATAGTATGGTATAAACTATGATTGCATATGAGTCCACATTATGTAACATGTAAGCTTATGCGTAACTGCTTTTTCCTTGGAGATAGTGAAACACGGCACGACTGCTATTCATGCTTTATGTGGAGTTTTGACGGAAAATTAAACATAAAGGTGAAAATATAAGACACAAATACAAACTTGTTTCTCAATTCA